TTATTTCTATTGGACATTTCAACAACGAGGCAGTTCAAAGAGCTTCACATCGTAAAGACTTAACACAGCAATGAATAAACAAGCAATAAGCATTCCAAATACCCTCATCAAAATCATCTGGAAAATTTGAATCAAATATTTTGATAAATATTCCACTTAGTACTATTCTAAATAGGTAGGTTTTTAGTTTTGATTTAGAGGAAATCTGTGTTTCGGCAGTTTGTAGTTTTCTGGATATTTGTTCCGGATTAGCGGAGCATAGAAGGTAAGGTAATTTATCTATGTAGGACATTGTACAGCAACAAGCCAATTCAAAGTGCTTTATGTGAGTTAGAAGGAAATACAACAAAGGAAAGAGCAAACCCCATGTTTAAGAATAAGTAGTCTGTGAGTATAAACTAGAAGGGGTTTCTCTGATAATGTTGATCTAGGGTCATGAGTAATTTCTCTAGATAAGCTAATAAAAATTTCTCTGGATTCTAAGTTTGTTTTAATTCCTGACGATATAAACTAGATGCTCCTGTTACTTATTCCAGTGAGAATAAGTACTTCATAATTTATAAGAAGCCGCTAAATGCTGCTTCTTCAAGTTTGGTTTTGGTTCTGGGAATGCAGATTAGACTAGAACCAGAAGACCTGAGAGGTTTGGAAGGTTGATCCAATGAAAATTATTTAATGTATTCTGGTGCTGAGCCCTGCAACAGACTGGCGACCTGTCCCGGGTGTACCTCTCCTCTCGCCCAGAACGCAGCTGGAGATAGGCACCAGCACCTCCTGACCCCGTTAGGGAGAAAGGTGCTCAGAAAATGGATGGATGGATGGTGCTGAGCCATTCAGTGATTTATAGATCAACGAAAGTATTTTAAAATCTATTCTCTGAGTTATGTTTCAAGTAAAAAAATAAAATATAAAACAACGTAAATACTGCTCTAATTTATGTAAAGCCAAGATGATACTTTTCTGCAATTTTGGAAATGTTCCATAGTCTATATTAACATAATACTAATTGTATGGTTGAGCATTTTTAATGTGACTTTTTCTCGTTTTATGAGTGGAGAAATTACGCCTTCAAAATCCAGCTGAAGGGCCAAAGGGCTTTCATGCAAATCCTGAAGCCCGAGTCTAAATAACGGTGCTCTGCAGTTGATGCGGTGCATAATTATAAAGCCATCTCCCATCCGAACATCTCAAAAGCCTTGAAGTGAAACCTTTAACTTTTATCAAGGTAAGCCATCATTTTTGGATGCCTCAAAGCAACAGTATGCCCAGACAGGGGAACATTCCTGCCTCCTCAGATGTTCTGCTGCAGCACAGTGTTGAGAGTCTGGTTGCAATATTCCTGCTTTCTGATTCATTCTGCTGAATGAAGCCGCTTCCTATTACAAACACCTGTAGTCCACACCAAGCTACCTTCACTGAATGGTAAGTGATTTTCACTCTGCTGAACGTTTTTTTATGTATATATATATAGAGAGAGAGAGAGAGAGAGAGAGAGAGAGAGAGAGAGAGAGAGAGAGAGAGAGAGAGAGCACATGCTGAAATCAGAGCTTTGGCTACATATTTACATAGATTTGCATGTACAATTTATGATGGCTGTCAAAGAGGCGCATGGGAACTCTGGAAGAGATGCAGAAATTATCCTCTCAGGTGGGAGATTTCTCCACACGACAACTATTAACTGTGAAGTACACAATTTTGACCTAAACTAAGATATTATTAAAATATACATACAATATATATATATATATATATATATATATATATATATATATATATATATATATATATATATATATATATATATATATATATATATATATCAATAATGTATCTTCTTCTTACTATGCCACAAGTCATGTAGGAGGCAAACCTTTAAAGAAAAGTGCTCTGCTCTGATGAAACAAAAACAGTCCAACATGGTTGGTGGCAGCATCAGGCAGGCTGTGGTATGTTTGTTTTGTTTTTGTTTGTTTTCTTTTTCTTCTTCTTCAGCGTTAACAGCGCGAAGCTAGTCAAAGTTGCTGGTGACAGAGCTAGACTGTAGGGCAACCCTAAACATAGAACCGGTGCTGCAGCTAAAGAGTTCAGGTCAGGGTTCCATCAAGCAAACCGAGGAACTTTAATCAACGTATTGAGGTTTTTATGTCCAGAAAATGACTGTTGTAGTCAATGTTAACTTTGAATTTGGCCTCAATTCACATATTTATATCTGATGCGCATATCATGTAACATGCTACCACACTAACCGAAACCACACACATCCCTAGTGGTATGGTCACAAAAAAACACAATATAAAGAGGTTTCCCTGCTAAATCTAAACTTCCCTACTAAAAAAGGTGTGAAGATTATTCACTTTTTCTAAATACAGTAGCAGCCAAAAATAATGTTGGTGAGAAGCTTGGTTGTATTACAGGCAGAAAGAGCCTTTTATGCTCTCCTCTGTGTAAACGGTAACAAACAGTGTGCCCCTGAAAACGCTCAAGTCAAAAATGCTATTTCGGGCAGAACCGATGACAAATAAGAAATCCTGCTTTCCCATTTCAATCAAAGCAGTAATAAAAAGAACAGCCTGAATGTTACATTCTATATACCATAAAACGAACATAACTAAGTATTTTCCCGTAGAGGCACATGTGTCACCTGGTAACCGCACCCTGACCACTAAACACATGCGAGAACTGTAGTTCTACTTTCCAGAGAAGAAAAGAGCAATTGATGTAGCTTTAAGTGCACAAAAGCATTTAGGAAGTTGTTTTAACAGTGGTGAAGCAAACGATGCAAGGCAAGATGTACGATGCCGTATTTTATGTTTAGTGACATTTTACCTGAATTCTGTTTTAATCAATTTCCAAATAGACCAGTATTATTATCTTCCACCCTTTTCATCAGTACTCCTAAGTTTTCAATGCTTTATTCAGATATATATATACAGTATGTATATATGTGGTATTTTTGGTGTCTTTAATAAAGATGATAATGATGAAGATGAGTGATTATTATTACATGTCAACTGCAGGCCTCCCAACACGTTGAAGAAACACTTTATACCATTAATTTGTAAAATTTTATGAGGAAATATATAATGTTACCTCTAGTTTTATTTTCCTAGTTCATCCAAAAAGCCAAACTTTCACCTGTTATGATCTTGACCTACAATCTTCAACCTTCCACCTGTTTTTTTTTTCATACATACATTTCCAAAAAGAAAAATTCAAAAATGTAATACTTTATTGGATTTTGTTATTGTTTGTTTGTTTGTTTTAGCAAGTTGGCCACACTTTCAAAGTCATTAGCATGCTCTTGGCAACATTGCCTCAAACAAAAATACGTCAAAGTAGTGCTACGTTTGCTTGAGTAAAGTTTTGACATACTCTAGATTGTGAATGCCACGGGAGAATTTGTGAATGAAAGCTGAATGCATTCCACCCGTTGTCTCAGTCTTTTTCCCCAACAGGATATCAGTCCAGCAGACTTCCAGTTGTGAACCAAGCATGGGATTCCTGAGGCTACCGTCTGCCCTGGTCAGCCTGGCATCCTTCAGTCACATCCATTTTTGCCAACTCATCCCTCAAACACTAAACAGAAATGTTTGTTGCCAAATATCAGCACAGAACAATGCATAACATTTGCTATGAAGTCTTTTTTTTGTTTGTTTTTTCTTGAACGCTTTCCTGTGATTTTTTAAAAATTATTAAAGCATAAAAAAAGAATTTTTAGGAATCAGGTTTTGCTCTTGGTGACAGGAAGCAAACTTTGCTTTATGAGCTTCAGACAGATGGGAAGTGGCACGAAACCCATTTCTGCTCAGGCAGAGATCAGGACCAGAGAAGCAGCGCTGCCGTCTGCCACGGGGCATCTGATCCTGTTTGGCTGGGAAGGATGAGCTGGCCGAACAACAGAGGCTGGTTCTGAAAGACAAACTGCTGCTATAGCGGTAAAATAATAGACCTTAACTCATAAATCCAAAAGTACAAGCTCAAATGTTGACATGGTAGGTAAATATTAGACAATTCAAGATCAAATTTCTCTGTTAAAGGTGCAGTACGTAATTATTCTAAAAAATATATCTGGAAACGGATCTTTTTACAGATCATCTGTCTCAAAGCACACTATGACGACATGGTAATAGTTTTGACATACATGTTCTTTATAAAAGTTACACGTTGCGCCTTTTATAGAGTTGTTTGTCCAACATTTATTGATGGTTTTATACCTAAAAAGGCAGGCATATATTGGCATGAGTGAATGAGTGAAACGCTTTAGTATAAACAAAAAACCCAGGAAGTATTTTTTTGTTTTTTAATACAATCTTTTAACTTGGATTTAAAAGTTAAAAGACTTTAAAAAGTTGGATTTAAAAATGGTTGATTGGTAGTCCAGACATCAATACTTTTTGAAACATCCTCACTTACGTGTTAATATGTTGAAGTTTTTATTTTTTTTGTATATATATTTTCAGTTTTCTAACAAAGTCCAAGAGATTTCTGTTTAAAATGTTCAGTTATGACAGAAAATGCACGATGCCATGCAGCCGTAGCAGGTTCCCACGGTGATTATTAGATGAAACAGGCCCACAGCATTACAGATCCTCTACCATGCTTAACAAGGGCGCTTTTTCAGTTTTTGTTTCATTCCAATTCCACCTGGAGTATTTCATTTTTATTTCATTTAACTTTTTCGTCAAAAAACAAAAAAAATCAATCTTGTCAGCCAACTTGAGCAAACTATGTACATTTGCTCTGACCTTCCATTATGAGTGATATGGATGTTTAATGAGACTCTTCAAGCACTTTGTATGTTTTGTTTGTTTGCTTTTTAAGTTTTATGAACTTTGCCACTTTTGAATGCACATGCACTCGGATAGGACTACCGGGGCGCGTTACGGAGCCAATGGGTGGACCCGGAGGAGAGCTTCCAGCCCCGTGATTTGTCAACCGGGGGCTGGTCGACTTGTCCCCCACCCCACAGTGTAATCGCTGCACCGGTTTGCGGGAGCTTGTCCAGCCCTCCCTGTCGCGGGGGACGCACGGAGTGGAGCGGCTTGCGCTTGGTGTGCGTTTTCGTCAAAGCCCCGCTACCTTCACTGTGCAGGCTGGGCGCCGGGAAAGAGGATCTGGCCCCTCTTTGTGGTGGAGAGAAGAGGCTCTGCCCCCCCCTCCTCCCCTCAACTTCCCCCCCTACACACACACATATGGCTCCTCTGTAGGAAAGTTTCCATTTTTCACCCGGGATCGTGGAAGGGACGTCAAAACAAAAAAAAGAAGAAGGAGAAGAAGAAGAAGAAAAAAAAACAGACCAAAAAAAAGTCACCCGAAGTCGCGCTCACTTTGCGGGACCCCCGAACATGGAGATGCAGCGGTGGTCCACAAGGTGGAAAACGAAACGTTGGCTTATGGATTCCACTAGAACTGCATTCATCACTTTAACGCTGCTTCTGCAGGCTGCTTGTGTCAGAGCAGGTAAGCAACAACGAGAGGAGAGGCGTATTGAGGTGTGAGCTGGGGCTGAGACGGAGCGCTGGCCGGATGAGGAAAGGGGGTCGAGAGTCGGACTTTTTCACCTGGGCGCAGCAGCAACAGGTTTGCGAGTTGTATTGTGGACACCTGCGGCAGCGCGGCTGTGCAGACAGCGGAGCGCTCTTCTGCCGGAGACGACGAGTGCGTTAAAGTGTTCTGTCTCGGTTTCCAAAAGAAAAGAAAAGAAAACTCATGTTTACGTCTGCCCAGAGGATGAAACATTTCGCTCTGTTAAATTGATCCTAAGCCGCTGGTATGCGCTTAGAAAGACCCTGGAGCAGAGCAGCTTTCTCATTTTCTTTTCTTTAAAGAGTCACTTCATCTCTCAGACACCTCTGTGTTAAGAGTGGAGGTGCTCTGGGTGGATGTGGACGAGGTTAGCTGGGTGGACGTTTGTTGGACCCTTCATTTTGATGACATCTTCCATGTATTGTGAAGGGCTGCTCGGATGCAGTACTTTGATAGGTACTGCATGAAAACTTTGCTTCTTCATAAGGCATTTGGCCACTTTGTGTGGACTTTGGTTGCCTTCTGGGGCCACATCCCTTGCAGAGTGCTCAGTGCTCAAGATGGTAAGGAGAGCGGGATGGTCATCCTGATGTTGGGAAAGGAAGAGCAGCTTGATGAAAATGCGAGGGAACTGTAATCAGTTGGCGATATCGAACAGCATCCATGCTTTCCTGATAATGTCTGTATGGAGTGGCAAGAATGTCACCCCCATCCGGATGTGAAATTGCAAGTCTAGACTCACTTTAATTGACAGTACCTCCATATAATGCTTCAGTGGGTGTAGTGCCATGACCCGAAGAGGATATAGGCCCGACAGGATGGGTGATTAATTGAAGGCTATGATGCAACCTGCAATTTTTCTTGGCCCACATGGCAGGCAGTCTGTTGGCACACGGCGCTGGGATAACTCCAAACTGCTGGGATGAGGTTTATTGTTTTTCTTTGCCAGAGGGGTTACACAAGGTCAGGCAGACGAACCCTATCTCCATGCTGCCCTGGGCCACACTAAAGGCCCAGTCACTGGCCCGCTACCCTACCTCCACCCCCCCACACCCCTCGTCTCTCTCCAACTTTGCACTCTGCTGCTTGGTAGGCTGCAGGACAAGGCTGGGTTGTGTGATTGGTGGGACCGCTTCCCCTCTAAGTACTGAGCGCTTATTTGATGACGGTCCTTGTTGCACTTCCCTATGATTTCGGAGCCTTCAAAGGGCAGGGCCTGCATGAAGAGGTAGCCCACAGTCATAATAGGCACTGTAGTCGCATGGCTCAAGATTATTCAGGCCTCACACATTGGACAACTGAGGTTTAATTTGGCGGAACATATGACGCAACCATTTAATTTGTTGTACTATTAAAGGATCTCAAAGGAAATTGCGACAATAACTCGACAAATTGGAGTCGGTTTCACTTAACATCGAGTTAAATTAGGTGTAGCATCTAAATTGGCTCGCTGCCGATGCATCCTGCTGGATGATTGCTGGAACTGCATGCCGGATTTGCGAAGTCTCACCTCTCCAGGTCCTGCTTCTTCATATATACGTTTTCAAGTGTGCCGCTGCAGGGCCCATCTGTGTTCCTCTGTCTCAGCCAGTCAGTCGCTCCAGAGCTGTTTATAGCAGCCAGAGCAGTTTCTGCAGGGCGCTTCAGCAGTGTACAGACACGTTTTCTCAGCCCCCGGGGCACAAGCTCAGATGCGCATTCCAACAAAAAGACGAAAAAAAAAAAAAAGTTTGCATTTTAAGAGGACTTTGCTTAATATGTTCAACTGGGAAGTTCAGAGCTTTGCCCACTGAAGCATCGATGGATTTATGGCGTTTGACCTCCCGGTCGGAGACAATCTGTTTGTCCGCCAGATAAAGTACAAATAGATGTTTCGAGTCAGAATTCAAAACTTCTTTATAGCTGTGACAACTAAGGTTTTTGCTTTACCATATACACAAATGCTGATTTATTTAATTTTTCTACAGGGAGGCATATATTAGCATGAGTTGATGCGAGGAAAACCTAAGTAGGGGAGAGTGGAGAGAAGGAATGCTTTGAAAAACTGGGTAGGTCTGAGTGAAATTTCCTTGGTATGACACTCAGCATAAAGCCGTCTTGTTTTAGCCGGCAGCATGATGGAAGCCGAAGGAAGCCAGAGGAGAGGAGGGAGAGCTGGGGGAAGAGGGCGGAGGGGTACGGGGTTATATATGAAGGGAGAGACATTCTGACGGAAGTCAGTGTTAGAGTCTCAGGGAGCTGCAGGTGAAAAGGTTTCACCTGTGTGTGTGGGTTTTTGTTTTTTTTTTTGTTACTGATTTACCTCGCTGTTAAGGTGTAAAAAACAACATTAACGCTTCCTGTTTGTTTTGGTTTTGTCGAACTCGGATTTCTTTGGCTTCATCCCAGAGAAATGCTCTTCTGTTATCTCTAAGAAGATAGGGGTTTCATCATGAACATGGTGCAGGTGCTATCCAATCTCGAGTTGAAGAGAAGCTGCTCCTCCCATTGTTTCACACCTCCCAAGTCTGTATATGCTTGAACAGAAGAGACGGTCTATTTTAATCCTCCCTACTGTGCAGTCTAAAGAGTTTTCCTTCAGCTATGCGGCCTGTTTGCTTCTCCCTAAGGGCAAACGCACCGACTCATCAGGTGCAGCCTTTCAAAGCCTGCACACACTCATTTGGGCCGCCTTAATGGATTGGCCCGTGTTTGTGTTTTCTCAACACCTCGGTGTGAGGGTCGCAGGCTGCACAAGCTGCAGCCTCTGAGTTTCTGTGCACAAACTCAGAGAGAGGTCACCTGGTTCCAGGCATCTCATGATAACAAACCTTCCTGGACGATAAATTGTCCCAGAAGACATCGCAATAAACGATAATATTGTTGCGTGGAGACCTTTTTCAGGGAATATAATGGTAATGACGTAGAAATAGAAGAACACTTTCTCAAAGATCATTAAACCTTGAATTCTCAAAAAATATTGGAAGTGGACAATATTTTAAATATATAAAATTTATATTTTAAAGTAAATAAGCAAAACAAATCAAATGAATTGTGAACTCTCTGTAGACAAAAATGTTCTTCAAAAAAGTTGAGACCAAACTGAAGACTTTTGTCAAAACAGTTTTTGGTAGAAAGAGTAAAATGATCAATTATGCAAATGGAAATTATTGTGCTCGTTTTCATTTATCATGCAATTAATTAATTTATGGCTGACCTAACTGATTCATCCTGAAGCTGTTATTGCTGCTGTTAGTATTTCAGCATTCAAACAGACTGGAAGTAATGCCGCTTTGACTTAAATGCATGTTATGATTACTTGCTGTAATCTGCTTATGTGGAAGTTAACTCAATGTGGGCACATGCAGGTGGTACTCATTTTTACTAGCTGAGAGGAAAATGCTTAAGAGATGACAGTCATGTCTGCCTTTGACTAAATGCAGCCTGATGCTGATTGGCTTGCAGGGTTTTACATGGTGCATGATGTATTGGCTGAAGCAGGTCTGTTCTTGTTGCATGCACTATTGGCAGGCAGTAATGAGATGAACGCAGACGATGAAACATACAGTGCTGTAATGTGTCTGGCCATTTATGTCTTCTATTTTTGCTTTTTTTTGTTGTCACCGTTGAATATTTGAGATCATCAAACACATTTTTGTATGGAAAGAGAGGCAGAGCAAGTTCAAAAGGTAGTTTTGTTTCGATAAGCTTGGACTTGCTATTTAAAGTCATGTCAGATCAGCCCAGTGAGGTTGAAGTTTGGACTTTGACTAGGACTCTGCAAAAATTTGTTTCTTGTTGTTCGTCTACTACATGAACCGAATGCGGTTGAGCTGAAGTTGGCAAACTCTTTCAGGACTTTTTGCTCAAGAGCAGAATTATTGATTCCCTCAAGAAAGAAGTAGCCAAAGAAACCCAGATCATTACACTACCGTCACCAATTTTGAATGTTAGCATAATGATTTCTTTTTAAAGTTATTTTTAATGTGTGTTTTATACCTGCTGTAACAGAATGCACACATTACAAAGAGTTCCACTTAGTTTTTTTCTTCAGCATACAGAATATTTATTCAATAACATCAAATCAAGATGTCTTTTAGTAAATGTGAAACAGACCTTTTGTTGTTGGCAGCAGTTTTGGCCTTGGATCTCTCAGTTTCTTAATACTGAATAATAAAAATTGATTTTCTCTAACGCAGACGAGCCCTGCAGAAGTTTAGGTCTTGCTATGAGTTTTTTGTGACCTCCTGAATGAGTTTTTGATTTGTTTGCCGTTGGTGAGCAGGTTCACTGCAGGTTTTCTCTAAGTGTTTACAAACCTTGAACTAACAGAAATTACATTTTTTTTTTGCATAGGGCCAGATAGGTTTAGATGCTTTTTTAAAAATAAATAAATAACCCTGATCATGTTTTATAAAACTGCATTTTAAAACAAATTTTATTTATTCAACTTTTTGTGATGTTAAAATTTGTTTGACATTCTGAAACGTTCTGGTGAGAAAACGATGGAAGGAGGCAGAAACTTTGTTAGCTTACATAGATGGAGGCCATGTTTCGTTATAGCAGCTGGAAGAAAAGGGTTGCTAATGCTAATGTAGAAAGGAAACACTGTTGATGTTTTTTTTTCTTTTCTTTTGAACATGATATTTCTTTATTCCTTGTACGTGGCAAGCCTTTTTGTTTTGCTTGTTGACCAAAGCTAGGTAGCATTAGCATGTGTCCACTATTTCGAACTTAAACAGCTAACATTAGCTTGAGCAGTCAACATACGTTTGCTAGTGTGAATCAAAGTGATTGAGACCGTCCACTGACACACATTAAAGTTAATATCAGCGTCATTCTACCTTATAACATTTTACTTCAAGTCTGATCAGGTTGTTGTATAATTATGGAAGTGAAACCTGCAGTAAGTGTAGTTTTAGTTTGTTTGGCTTGGTTGTTTCCCAGACAGTAATGTCAAGCTTTAGCTTGTCTTCAAGCTAGCGGGTTACACTGAGGAGTTAGCCTGAGAATAATGATGATGCTTCCCAGGGGATTTTGTGGGAACTCACACAGGCTTCTTTATGTGAAGTGCAGCGGATTGAAGAGCCTTATCAAAGAAAACCTATTCAGGTGTGATACAACTCCAACTCTGTTGCTACTTTGTTCGTTATGGTGCTTGGTATGCTCAGTTATTTCCTGTCTGGCTGCAGCACTTCCTAGCATAGCTATTTAGAAAAGTATGAATGATTTACCTCAGCACTTCATCAGGATGATACTCAAATTTTCACTTGGCAAGATAATGTTATTATTAATAGTCTTCATGCCATTCAAAGTTTTATGTCTTGTAAAGAAATAAAAATGGTCAGTTCATCTTTCTCCATTATTCGCTTTTGACATTTGGGTTGATTATCCGGACTTTTTGTTCCACCATCCACCGGGTCATATTCTGTCATTATGAGGCATGTTAGTCGTTCCGGTCTGAACAATGATTAGAAAAACAGTCAACAGAAATTGAACTGAATCTAAGCTATTCAGAAAAAGAAAACGTCTATTTCATTTGAAAACTTTCACAGATATTGATCTCCGTAATTGACCGAAAATGCTAATTTACCAAGAAAAGTCAACTGCAGTGGTTATCTACATGTGTGGTTTGTTTACAGGTACAAAGTGAAAGTGGAGCGTGACAAAAAAAAAGTTACGCACAGTCACAGCATTGGGATGTGAATCAGCACAGAGACAAACTGATCCATGACTGGCTCAGACAAAAACATATGACCTCCGCTACAAAAAACCCCCAAAAAACAAACTCTTCGTATTCCGACCTAGAAAATGCTCACTCATGCTCACCAAAGTGTTTTCAACATTTTTCTTCCACTGTTGTTTGAACCTGTGGGTTTGGTATGTTGTAAATGTTGCATGTTGTCTCTTGTGGCAAAAAATAAAAACTTGAAGTTAAAATTCTTCATTTTATTTACACAGTCTAATGAAATCAGAAAGTCTTGAGTACAACGAACTGATGTTCCATTTCCTCTTTGAACAGCAGAGCCAGTGGACGTCTTAAAAGCGTTAGGATTTCAAAATTACCCCGAAGGAGTGACAAAAGTAACGGGATTTTGTGCAAACCGAAGAGCATCGAAGTCAGACTCAGCCTACAGAATCGCCAGGCAGATCCAGATCAGTGCTCCCACCTCACAGCTGTTCCCTGGTAAGATGAACCCCTTTGTTTTTAGTTCGTCTTGCATATGCTGATGTGCAGATTTAGTAGAAATGTGACCACAAGATACAAAACTTTCACATAAATCATCATAAAACTAGAACTACCTTAGTCGGTTGCAGTTACCCAACGTGCTCCGGTAAAAACCTCACTTGGCTGGTCCATCCTTCTGTTTTCCATCCAGGTGGTGTTTTTCCTGAGGATTTCTCCATCCTGACCACCGTGCGCCCCAAGTCTGGCCTCCAGTCCTTCTTGCTGTCCATTTACAATGAGCAAGGAGTTCAGCAGCTCGGTGTAGAGGTGGGACGCTCACCTGCTTTCCTGTACGAAGACCAAACCGGCAAGCCAACCCCGGAGGACTACCCCCTGTTCACCTCTCTCAACCTTTCTAATGGAAAGTATGTACATCTTTATTTTTTATTATTCGATTAAGGGCTGTTTACGCTCAGAAAGATAGGTCTGGACTTACGGATGATGGTAATACAGAGAAATTTGCATAACATGAACTCCAGCCAATTGAGGGGTCTCAGATTTTGCACGGGAAGCAATGCAAGAAATAACATTTGTTTCAATGCTGTTTTTACAGCTGTGTCGGAGTGACCACGGCTCCAGATGTTTTACAGATGGTCTTGCAGTTGTTTCTTCCTTTGATGCATTAGTCATTTGATTTGATCGTAAATGTGTTTTCATGTTACATCTCACAAAGGCAAGACAAGGCATGATCACTGCAGTATTTTTGGTAAAACTTTTTTTGTTTATTTATTTATAACAAATTTCAATAAATTTATATTTTAAAGTGAATCCAATACATGTCAGCATTTTTCACCGCCTTGTTTTACTCTGAGAAATGGTTCCACATAAGCAATTGGAGTGATGAGGCTTTTTTATTGCTAACTACTTAACCTGATGAGAAATCTTCATGAATTGACATTGTTGACACAACAAGGAAACTCAAGAACTGCTTCATCCTCATTTCAAAAATAAGGAGGGATTTCTCAAATAAATTAGATAACGCACAAACTGGCATATCTGTAGTTCTCTCCATGAAAACAATTCACATTCACAAAAGCTGAAAAGTGCTCACAATGACAAAAATACTGAGTCCATATTTATTCGTATTAAATTTAACACAGTGTTTGCACTTTCCTTCTTTCTTTCTTTTTTTGTTTTAGATTTCCATTAAGTCTTGATTTAAAGCAGGAAGCCAGTCCTGTTGCGGCACAGGTTGTCACGACTGGACTATCCATCTCGTCAGGGTTCTGTGGGCACAAAACAAGTCAGGGACGAGAAGACGTTGGATTACTGGGCCTCAGCAGGGCTGTTATGGGCAAACTGACCTCATCCATGAACTCCCTGCCTCTGTTATTTTAGAGCGGGGGAAGCTAGGAGGAGATAGAAGAAGCTCTACCTTTCCTTTCTGCCCCCTTGGATTACCTTACCCAAACCAGAAACAGTTCTTCTAACCTTGGGGAGAAAACCTGATTATCCACTCCCAGCTGAGTTGTCACTCAGATATTTGAAGCTGAAAAAAGCCCACGTACCAGTGCAGGATGAAATGACTTAGCATATTGGAGCTTTTGGGAGTTGTAAAATCACAAGTAGATTCTGTCCTTTTTTTTTGTCTTTAAAATTTGTGTTCATGTCTAGCGCTGTTATAACCTGAAGTGTTAAAATGTTACTTAAAAGCCTTGGAAATGTTGTTCTTTTCAGCTAGTTTTCTTAGTAAATTATATACCATTTAAGAATTTCTGTCTATGAAATTATGTCCTCAACAGAGGATTTGACCAATTTGTGTTTTGGAGGCAGTCCAGGACTAAATCCTCAGTGACTCAGACTGTGTATTGTCTTATGTGCTGAGAAATAATAGTCACAGCAAATATTCTGACAAAGAAAAAAATACTTAACTCTTCTAAAATCTCTATGTAAACTTAAGCTTCACATTAAGAGAGATAAAACTGATCAAATCAGTTCGATCCTCTCAAAATTCTCTATAGACGATTTGCAAAATAATGTTTCACATAAGACGTCGCTGTACTGATCTCTTCCATATTTTTGGACACCATCAAGTAATACTCTGGTCATTTTGAACTGAGGTTTTGTTAAGAAGCAAATGACCAGATCATAACTTACTTAGAGAAGTTAACTCTCTTGGTCTCAGATGCTAATGCTAACAGCTAGTCTGAGGAGAGTAAAATTGTATCTGCTTACCTTTTAATAGAACACCCCTTTAAGAAATCCTGAACTATTCCTTTAAGTCAGCATTTGTTTGCCTGCTGTATAGGTAACAAGTAATCCTTTGTGCAGCAACGTTGAGCTTACCCGGTAGTGCACGTTTATTTCTCCCTAAGCTCCATTGCCTGCCCTGGAATGTGTCTGTGTGGTTTAGCTGTGTTAAATGAATGAATGACCATCAGATCAGAAATGCTACTTTTTGGAATCTAAGCTTTCTAGGTTCTCGTCCTAAACCGGGGCACGGCAAAAGGTCTCATCCTCGACCTTAGAAGAGTGTTTTGACTGCACCTCCGGTTCTGTCAGGAAAAAGGCCTTCCTGGATCTTGACACACACTTTCCACAATGTTCACCACGTCTGTCATGCCGAGTAACCCAGAAGGAGGATTAAGTTTGGAGTTTAATGAGTGTAATCCTGTGCTAAACGGGGCAAAAGTGTGGGGCCAAGAATGTGGTCCGCTATTGCCTGGAATGCAACAGCTCCTGAACGTAGTGACAAATGGTGGAAAGGCAGCTGAGGTGTCGGACTCACATGCGACCCGAGGCGACCATTTGGATCATCAATAATTTCTACTGTGGTGCATGAGGATTTTTGAGCCGCAGTGGTTTTTTGTTCAATACGTTTCGATACCAGCCCCTGCTGGGAAGCTGGAACCGAGCCCACCAGTCACAGATCTGGAGGAGGCGTACAGTCTGGACAGACTGCCGGTCTACCACACAGCCAACATGCATGGTTTTAGAGTAGGGGAGGAAGTGCTTGACCTAACTTGTTGTTCTTTAGGTCTAGTTAATGCATAACTAGACCAAAGAATCATAATTAATCTAGAGTAACAAAGAATAACTGGACACAAGACAAAAACACATTAAGCTAGAATCACTAGCAAAGGACTGAACCAGAGTAGAACAGAAACATGGCTGATCAAATCAAAGAAAATGAACCAAGGAAACAAAACCTCAAACCAACTCAAACCCAAGATCATCACACTCCAGTAGTCTCACAGCCTGACTCGCGGTCTTGACTTGATTTCCGTTCAATTTTTTGTTCACAAAAATTGGTCAGACATTTTCCTTTTTGGGGTTTTGCTCTTGGATCCTTTTGTCAACCACACTTTGTAAATACATGCATTTAATTAATAGCTTTCAGATTTGTTTAGGAGATTTAGAATTGCTCTCTAAATGCATTATTTTTCTTACCACAGACAGTGTTTTATAGAGCTGGACTTTACCTTTTCTGTTCAAGTAACGTCTGCTTCTCCTGACTTTGACCAGGTGGCGCCGTGTGGCCATCAGTGTTGAGAAGAAGACGGTCACCATCATTGTGGATTGTACGAGGAACATCACCAAGCCTCTGCTCAGGAGTGACCATGGCTCCATCAGTACCAACGGCATTACGGTGTTTGGCACCAGGATCCTGGATGAGGATGTTTTTCAGGTAAAGCTTTCAGAGGTGGACTGTCTCAAAGCGGTTCTAGTGAGTTTAAAAGGTTTGTTTTACTGATTTTTAAGGATCATCTAAAATACTTTGCTTGCCAAAATCTGAGCATTTTGGATATATATGTTTTTTTTAACATATGAAAAACCAGATCTGTGAAGGTCTTTTTAGGGAAAAATGAGCAGTAAGTAGAGGAAGTATAGGCTCTGTAATACAGTTTGTGATTAGGGCAACTTTTCTTTTTTTATATAAACATAAATATTGTGTTAAAGAAATACTGCTAAAATCCTGTGTTAATCGCAATATTTTGCTTTTTACAAATTGTTTCTAATAATGTCGTATTTGCACACCAAATCTATCATCTGAGATACTTTCTCGTGTTGACAAAACCCTGGCTCTTATTTGAAGTAATAAGAAAGTGTTTCTATTAAAAACAAAAGAACAGAGAACATCCAGAGTTGACGTTTTATGAGGATCTTGAAGACAGAAAGTTATTCCATAATTAAACACGAAAGGCTCTTTCTCTTCCGTTTAAAGATCTTACAACCTCGCAACACTGAATCGATGGATTTTGATGTAGGTTACGTTTCACATATTTGTCTAACTTGTTGCAGATGCAAAATAATCTGTGAGGATTGTGCATGTCTTGATGCAGCTTAGATTAATTTGGTCACCCTTCTGTCGTGAGCCTGATGAACTATTGCTGTTCTCTGAGCTACTGCTTCTGACTTTTCTTTGCCAGACACAAATGTAAAACTATGATTTATTGATTTTTATGTTTTTTTACGAAGCACTTAATATTTGTTCACAAAAATTGCAACCACAATTTTTGTGGTTGCATCCAGAGCCACACTGAGGTTGTTTAGGAAGTACCATAGCTGCATGGTTGTTAGATGTTTGATGAAGAGGAAGGGTAGTAGATCAGCTACATCACCATGAATTAGGCTACAACAAAAGAAAGTCAGTAAATCATTAAAAAAAAAAAAGGATTATGTAAATTTTGAGGGATTTTTAGTGACAACAATTTACAGAGTAAAGTTTTTTGATGTGTTAATTTAGTTTTAAGATTTCATCCAAATGCAAGTTGACCTTCCAGTCCTTCTAAAGTTAGTTTTGGATTGTAGTTTACTGTATTTTATCACATTGCTTGTTTTGAACAGTTAGTTAGTTTGGAATCAGCCCATCTCTGATTGGTGACCATCAGGTTCGGTTCTGAAAAATCAGACCATTTTTTTTTCTGTCCATTTAATGCATCATAGTGTAAAAAACTCCAGCCTCTTTCAGTCTGTAAAGGCATCAACTGAAAGCGTGCGCAAGAAAACTATAAAAAATGAAGTAAAGGATTGTGACATACAGACGTAGTTGGGAACACTGTCGGCTTGCAGCAAGAAGGTTGTGGGTTCGAATCCCAGCCTGGGATGCATACATTGGTTCTAATTTTGCTTCTCAACACCGCTGACATCACTGTTAGGCTAGTTGGTCTCTTTAAATTGTCTTTTGGTGTATGTTTGTGTGTGTGTGTGTGTGTGTGTGTGTGTGTGTGTGTGTGTGTATGCGTGTGTGTATGCGTGTGTGTGTGTGTGTGTGTGTGTGTGTGTGTGTGTGTGTGTGTGTGTGTGTGTGTGTGTGTGCGCGCGCAATTGTTTGCCCCAGTGTTGCCCTGTGTTGGACTGGCAACCTCTCACCCAATGACCGCCTCCATGACCCGTATAGATGATGAATGGATGGATTGTGACATATACTCTGATACTTACACCTGTGGCACTTCCACTTTTTATTTCTTATGTATTATTGTCTATACCCATAAGTGTGTTAGGTCAGAAGTACGGTAACAACTTCGAAGCTGGAAAAATAACTAATGCTTTCTTTTATTTTCTGTCTCCTATTTTCTTCTGTTTCTACTCTTCTCGGTGATCCACAAAACCCCTTGGCATGCTGGGATATATTTGTGTCTATTTTACACCGTTTTAAAGAGAAGCTACGCTCAGACACGACGTCAAATTATTCAGTGATTTAATAATATAGAAAAATCACAACTCTTCAGTCTGATAACTGAGCTGATTGACTAGATATTACAAGCAGTACTTTTTTAGGAGATGACATTTCTCCTTTTGTTTTCAATCATTTCTCAATTTAAACATTTTGACTAAATATGTGTAATATTTAAAAGCACAACAACATCATCTTTATTGCAAGTAAAGTTTTTGTGTGTGTATGTTTGGAATCCACGCTTAATTTTTCATAAACATCCATTCATGCCCTACCTGCCTCGAGTTGGAAGCGACCACCAAAGGGACCATGCCGGTATGAATGGACGTCTTTCATTACAGCCATCAGGCCTCCTTTATTTCCTCAAATATTGACATCGCTCTCTCTCTCTCTCTCCCCCCATGCGTGCCTCCTCCTCCCTCCGTACCCTTCCCATCTTGAGGCCTTCCCCCATGTGCCTAACGTATGAGACCGTCTATTCATGCCCAGCGGACACTGTCTGCCTGAGTCGGGTTCACATGTAGAGACATACCTGGGCCTATTCGCTGCCTTTCAGTCATCTGAGCTGAAGGAGTACATTGTGCTGCAGCCTCAGCCACCAGCGTTGCCTGGAAACATCAGACCATATATGCACTGTGGTTTGTGTTCGGTGTTGTCTGCTTGCGATCAGTGAGTTCTGATTGAAATATTCGCAGTGAAGGATGTTTCCTGACAGTTTTCCCCCCACGTGTGCATGTTTGTTTATTTTAGACAGCAGATTTCCTACTTTTCACTTCAGTTTAGATCTGTTTCCGCTTGTTTTGTCTACCTGTCCCTATCACCCGTGAGAATTGAATAGCATGCAAAAAGAGGCAGAATTTTTAAAACAAGTTCTTGTTTCCTGACTGGTTATATATTCATAACTGTTGAAAGCAATGACAAATTCAGTTTGCTGTTTTCCAGGCAGGAAGATACCAAAGGCCGAAAATGAACATGCAGGACGTCATAGAAAACATACATTACCAGAAAACCTTGCATGTCTATGCTAGGGCAGTCATCTATTCAGCGGGCTGTCTTGTTTTTGAGTTAAAAAATGTTTAAAGTTGACTGAAATTTTGAAAATATTACTTGATAATCATGTGTTATTGAAAGATTGGAAGATTAACACCTGATCACCAACTATAAAGCCTTATAAAATGCAAACATTTGAAAAAGACTGATATAAATAAGCAATGCTTCGCCTGGTGGGGGCACAAGCAAAAGCCTGGTGACCCGCCAGGCTTAATCAAGCTGAAACCTCCAGCTTGATTATGGCAGCATCGTTTTGCCAGGGAAGGTGGTCAGAGTTTATACAAAGATTCGGAGATGTCAATGGAGGCCATTTCTGAAAGGCAAAGGCAAAAAGATTGAGAGCAGAACAAAGGTTTCGCAACATTAAAGTAGGAATATATCGCATAAACGTCATTATCGCTCATTTTGGGTCATTTTTTTACAATGTATCGTATCAGTCAGATAAGTAGAGTTAGTCTGATGTTAACAACCAATGTTTATTTACACCTTGTTGCTGTTTATGTTTCTGGAGGTGGAGAGCAGGAATTTTGCCATAATGTTCTTTGTTTAGTCATTTGAAATGACAGTGACACCGATACAGCTATTAATTCCCGATCTGTGCATCTGTAATCAACATCGGATATCGATATCAGCCCAAAATTTTTTATATCATTGCATCCTTAAATACAAATTTAGTTCTACAAGGATGCATATTCATCTGTTACATTAGCCCAGTCAAAGACCGGATCTAATTTCAGTTTTGACTACGTGGCAAGACAATTAAAGTGCCATTCACGTGACCCGTCTGTCCAGTCCAACTGTTCTGGAGCTATTTTTTTTTTTTTGCAAAGAGTCATAGACAAACATTTTAGTCTCTAGACATAAACCGAAGGATATGCAGCTGCAGGTTTCTCCAATTTTTAGTTCCCATTTTGAAAAATCATGCAATTTCTTTTCACTTTGCAATTATGTGCTTCTTCATGTTGGTCTGTCCCATAAAAATCCTACTGAAACACATTGATTTCTATGGCAATTTTGTCAAAATGTCATAACAAATTCAAGGGTTGTAATTACACGAAAGATGTAGGTACAGACCACATGGACTTGTCTGATTATAAGTGGCTGTGGTTTTTCAGAGCCATGCTGATTAGTGTGTGGCTTTAATTTAACCAGTTAATCGCTGCTGTAGGCTATAAAGCCCAGGAGGATTTTAGTGGAGATGTACTGCTGGTTTGTGGATTATTCCTTTTGTGGACTAATCCAACATTTCTACATCTACACAGCTGTAACATTTGACCTTCTCTCTCCGTATTTGCATACCTTAAGCTGCGATTCCATTATAAATGTGCATAAATGTTTGTGTTCTGCTAATGTATATGACAAAAATAAAATAAAAAGATGAATTTAATTGTCTTGTTTCCATTAAGGTAATTTATTTAATTTTTTGCAATTTTGTGGCTAGTGGAAATGCAGCTGTAGTAACCTGCTGAGTAGAGTAAATCAAAGAGGATGTGCACTCCTGAGTAGATTTGGTAAATAATGAAAATACTTTTTTGTAGTGTTCTGGTTTTTAAAACAGAGCAGCTCAGTTTCAGGAATCAGACACTGAATCCTGTTATTGATTAGACCGTTGTTGTTTTTTAACTTTTTCTCCTAACTTTAACTGTTAAGTGTTGATTTATTTATTTTTTTTAAGTTTACCTTTTGTGCATCTTCTAATTCTCCATTTATGATGCTTTGAAATCTATGGGCTTTTACTGGCACTAATGTGACTCAAGACAGCACATTTATAAAGTGAGACAGATTTGTCCAACAGTTTTAAGAGTCTCCATTGTCTACTTTAAAGTTGCTTCTCATTTTCACCCCATCTCTCCGCTGACCCCTGTCAGTAGAGCCATTTAGGCTCGCTCGCCTGCACAGTGCTGTTTTCTGGCGAGGAGTATTTTCGAAGTTGTAGCGTCGCTCCACAATACCAGAGGCCTCTTTTTTCAGCAGCCCACAATAAAACGATAGACTGACAGTCTCAGTGTAATGAACCCCAGGTGCCTTCCTTCACAAAACGTCTTTTACTATTTCGGCTGCTTGGTTTTAATCTCTTTTCTGGTCTCTGTGTACCTCTTGGTGTTCCTTTCATGAATTTACTGGCGGTTTTCTTCCCTCTTAAGTCTTTGTGGCTTTGTGCGATGATTCTAATTAGCTATGCGTCCTACGTTATTGTGACAATCTTGGCAGGTGTAGCAGTGAGTGTTTTATTCTCTTATTTTGTGGAAGAGAAACTGTTGGTTTTATTTTGATGCGTCATGGACACGTACGGCACAGTTTATAAGCCTTTGTTTTGACTTCTTTGTGATCATTTGTCATTTTTGTTGTTCAATGTTGTCCAGTGAAACCGAGAAGCTTCAGAAATGCAATCATCTGATGACGGACTTTGTCCACCGGCGCAAACGTGGAGCTCTCAGATGTGTCCTAGTTGAAGCTGACTTATTTCAGGGTTCAAGCACTCATGTTCGACGTGTGAAGTCAAGCTCACTCAAAGTGAGTCTTGATCTTTTCTTTTGGCTTCTTGGCTCGAGGCCTATTAACAGCATTTTGAGCCGTGTCTCAGATTAATGCTCTACTTGCGTCAAGGTCATATTGGCTTCTTTCCTTTAGTGGCGATGGATAGACTAGTGCTCAGTTAGATATGTTTGTATTGGGACTTTTTATCCTAATTAGGTGTTTAATTAATACCTAAAACCTTTTAGATATTATTTTGGTTAAAGAAATACACCAGAAATGTATTTATTATTTCACTTGCACTTAATTTGTGTAGGGTTATTATGTAAAATCCATGGATTTTACATAATAACCCTACAAAGACCAGTGGTATTTGAGGTTGTAACAGGACAAGAGGTTTTGAATACTTATGTAAGTCACTGTATATTAACAGAATTATTAATTGCACAAATTTATTTAAGTTTTGTAATATGTCTTGATTCGGAGATTGACTATTTTTTGTTCTCGAAGGCAAACTCTTTCAAAGCTCATGTTAGAACAAACTGTGCATAGGCTGAATGTTCTGGGTGGAGTCTTTGGGCTGCCAAAGTAAAGATGTTTATGGATATGTTTTCAAAGAGAAAGTTTTATGGAATACTGCTTATTTTCTCTTGGAACATGCCTAAGTAACATGGTTGTTGCGCTAAAGTGCATATTAGACATCCATAAAATATATTTCTCCTGTGCAAAGAGAGGATATGCACACGCATACATGTACACACACGTCGTTTCGGCGTGCTGCAGCCTGCCTCGTTTCCATGTGTTTCATCCTGATACTCTTCTCCGCTCTCGAAACAGGTAACGTCCTCCCGCCAGCGCGAGTCAGGATTTTATCCTTCTGCATTAGCAGCTGTGTATGTGTTCTCACCTGCCAGCGGCCCCGACCAGACACGAGCTTGTAAATCCACCTCATCAGCTGTCTGCGAGGAAGCCACGACTCAAATACCAGCCTGCAGGAATTCGGTCCAACCAATTACAGACTCCAAAGACGGTTGACATGCGTTCACTACTGTGTTTACTGTCTTACAGAGGAGCTGTGTACTTTGGCCGAAGTAACAAAGCCACGCTTTGCTCGAGTGGTGTCAAGCATAATGGTGCAACATTTTGGTTATAAAGGATATGGACAGTATTTTGAAAGGATCATAAACCGCATTGTGCAGTTGTGAAATATAAAATATGATCACATAAATCATGTAATATTACACATTTGCACAAAGTGCAGATGCAAAAATGCAGTAATGGGATGTATTACTGTTATGTTAACGTGTTTAATATTCAGTTTCCAGTTTTGCAAAGGTTTTACACGACAACACATTTATGAAGTTCTTTCTTTAGAAATGGAGAGATTATGAATTGAAAATGATTGAAATATTGTAAGTTTGATTCTAGCTTTCCCCACCACTGAGTGAATGTGTTTATTATTTTGGAACAAATTCAAAGAGTTTGTGAAATCTCTGCTGCTAGAAGCTGCTAAAACAGCATCTTCAGTGTTTAAAATGTTTTCAGACAGTTCATTCATCTTCATATTAGGAGCTGATGCAACTTCACACTGTGTGAGTGTAGTCAACTATTATTTACAAAGTGTTTAGCATTTTCTGCCAGCAATAACCACTGCTTCCATTTTTTTAAAGAAACAGCATCAGTGTGTTTTTTAGCTGCTTAAGTGAGATATTTTCAAATTGCTCCCATTATTTCCAAATCCATCAGTTTCCAGTGCTGAGTTGAATAGCTCAAAATAATAAAATAACTCTGCTAATAAATGAATTGAGCCTTTCTGTTATCTGCTGGAGTCTCACTCTAAATGTTGGCGCCTTAATGAACATTCAGTTCTGTTTTTTTTTTTTTTTTTTCATTTACTAACAACTTCCACCCTGCAGGCTGACGTTGTTAGAGCAAACGTTTAGCAATTCGCTAATGACAGGAGCAGCTAATGACAGGAACAGAATCAGATTTCTGAGTTTCTGATCACTTTAAATATCCCACTCCTATGTTTCTGTTTTCTGCAGGGGGACATCCAGCAGCTCCTGATTGTCGCTGATCCCAAAGCAGCATATGACTACTGTGACCATTACAGCCCGGACTGTGACACACCGCACGAGGATTCGCTTCAGGCCCAGGAACCAGACGAAGAGGTCAGCCAACAAGCAGAGCTCCTCGTTAAACTAACCCTTACAGTAAATTGTACAGCTGCAGTAGGCGAGTTTTATTTATTTAGCAATCGAGTGTTCCATCGATTATTCTGATGATTAATCAGTCAAATGCATTAAGAAATTTGGCACATTCTGTAGATTTTTCATTTGACTATTTGAGCGTATTTAATGTCATACTAGAAACACATATAAATAATTAATTCAAACCTTTTTTCGGAAACTAATTGTGTCATTGCCTAAAATGCAATAACGTATCATTCCTTTAGTGCACATTTATTGATTTGCCGCAAAGCTTTATATAAAATTTTTAAAGCCAAAATTAAGCCATTTAAGGAATTCTAGGTAAAACATATTTGCAGACAGGTTTTCTTTTTTTTTCTTAAATATATTAATTTTTTTTGTTAAGTTTTGACTTGATAACGGCTCTGAATTTGTTTTCCTTTGAGCGCGTCACTATCATTTTAATCAAAACACTCCAGTTAACTGTAAGTTAATTACTAAGTTAGTTGACTCAACATAAAACATGAAAATCAGACTCTTGTGTTTGAAAACCGCTCCAAACTATCACATTTGTCATTATTTTGAACTAATAAAAGGTGTAGAAAAGCCGTCTGGAAATACGCAGCAACAGGTGGGGGAGAATCATCCAAGGCTTTTAGAACCGTAAATCGACAACCCCGTTTCCGGCGCCTTGCTAGGTCACGACTCGCAGGATGAGAACTACCTTAGAGCTACGCGTCGCTGAGACGGCGAGCTTGTTGCTACGAGGCTCACCTTTTGTTTTTGCAGCTGCTTCCAGTGAGAAAAGTTCCATGACGAGATTCTTTGAATGCAGCTTGTAATTTTGGCTTTTTTATGAGCCTTTTAAACACTCCATCTGCTCATGTTTGTAGGTTCAGACCAACACAGCAGGTTTCAGCTGTTATTTAGTTATCCAGTTCATGTTTTGGTTGTCTACCTGTAAGTCTGAACTGTAAAACGAGTACAAATGCATTATATGACGTTTTGTTCAATAACATAATTATTAATACAGTCTTCATTTGCTTTTGCTGTTAACGTCTCCATTTTATCGCAATGCATAAAATGTAATTTGGAACTTTTTCCTAAAAACACAAAACTTTAATGGCTTCAAGTGTTTGAAGTTATGACCTGCTGAAGATGATGCGTACCGTATTATCTTCTCGCTGAAATCACGTTCTGCATTTTTAATGCTTTTGCTAGAAACTAAAACCTGCCCACTCTTCTTCTTCTTCTTCTTTTTTCCGTCTCTTCTCTGCCGTTCTCAACCACTCCAGTACATTACTGACGATATAGATTACAGACAGTTCTATGAATACCCTGAAGGACCAACAGCCTCCGTCCCGACTGACGAATACTCTGAAAAACAGGTAAATTAAAAAAAAAAAAAATGCGAAAAGAAAAGCTGTTTTTGTTTGTTCGTCTGAGTTGTGGCTACATGTGCGCTCAGTGTTTCAAAAATCACAGTGTGTATTTTGCACAAAAATAACAAAAAAAAAAAAAAAGTCAGAGTAAGCGATCCACTATATTTTCTGACTGACAAAAGTCACATTCATGGCTGGATGTGAGCAATCTGACAATGGAGAAGTAGAGGAGTGAATCTGCGTGCACATGCAGACACACACTGTCCTTCTGAAGCCGCCTTTGCTGATTCTACCTGCTTCAAGTATGCTTTTGCATTTCAGCACCTCCTTAAAAATAATGTAAGCGTAATAGAATATCAGCTGGATGGTATATAGTTAGGAAAAGGCAGCTAATTTGACTTCTACGCCAAATCTAATACCTACATTATTTCCAAAGATGTGCTGAAGGTGTTACAGGTTTCACAGAGTTTGCTTGATACTTCAAACAGTTTTGAAGACGCAGTAGATCTAAGAAGTGTTCACAACCCGTCTAAAATTGGAGATTTTAGTCAGGATTTTATGTTTTCTGCATATGACTTTTCTTAAAAAGAAAATATTCAAGCCTGGGAGAAAAAAAATTGTACGAAAAATGCTGGAGATTATTTTCATAACTAGAGCACAACCAGTGTTTGTGCCAGCAATTCTGTTTTGCCCAATTAATTACCAATAATTTTTGGACCCTTCTCCTGACTGATACCTTTGTATAAATCAAAGTAATCCTGGTATGCATGCTTAGGCTGAGCTACGACTTAGCTTTCTAAGCTTCCTCTATCTAACCAGCTGCGCCGTATAGGGGGGAAAGTTATGACAATTCTAAGGGCCCCTGACCGACAGGGGGCCCTTCGCAGTTTATTTATTTTTTGTTCATAGAAATAAAACTAAAAAATTGGGGCCCTGTCAAATGCAAAATTAATCATATTGTGTTTTTGAAGATTGTTTTCAGCAGTAAAAATTGAATGTTCCCACTCCCAGACCAAAAGGCAGAGAACCATATTTGCTCTGAACCCCCCTGGATCTGCATGAAGCGCTTGACGGTGTTCAGCAGCAGTCAGTAGAAAACAAGAACGACTGTGTCAATTACTATGCTGCTAAGTAAAATTATAAAATCAGTTTTAAAAAAATAAAAAATACATATAGGGGGAGGGAGAGATAGAAAAAGGTAAGTGTCAATTTGTAATCCAGTTTTTCACAAATTTGTTCAAACTGTCATTATGTTGTGAAAGTGTGGTGTGAGAGATAATCTGTAAAAAATCTATTTCTGCTGCTTTCTCAAAGTGCTAAAACAACTAGTCAGTGGCAGGAGAGTTTTAGTGCTGTCAATCACAGTCTCATGTGACCGCTTCTTCCCCTTGCTCTGTGCTATGTTGCAGCTAGCATAGCCTGTTGTGAATGCTCAGTCTAGTTAGCATAGTTACCGATGACAGCAGATGAACAATTTTCCTGTAATGACATGTTGTTTCTCCACCATTAGCACGTTTAGCAGTGAGTGAATGAGCTTCATTGACAGCACTAAGACCCTCCTCCTGGTTCTGATTGGTTGTTTTTGGTCAGAATGGTGCATTACTTTACCCAGTAATCGTAGCTCAGGGAGGAGATGGAGGAGGAGGATTGATGTTTTTCACAGATTATCTGTCTCATAACAAACTGTCATGACGTGGTGCCAGCTTTAACAAGCGCATGTTTTATTAAAGTGATATACTACAGCTTGAATAAAATGCAACAAGATAGCATTTTTTGAGAAGTCTGGATTGCTTTATGTGTATTTTTCATATTGTCCATGACTTTTGCTTGTGGGGAGACATTTCAGTAAGCTTAAAGAGTGGATAACAAGCAAGACATACTTCATCCTCACATTTAGACATACATGGATTGTTTTTCAATTTGTCAACAACTTACAGCTTTACATTAACCGTTCGCTCACTCTTTCAGTTTAATTATACGGAACAGATTTTCTAATAAAGCCGTAAAAGTTTTTAAAGTGGTGTACCATGATCTATTATGTTCCTCCTAGCATTTAAAGACGAGTGTGCACCGGTTTAGATCTACTTGCGTACTTTATATAAATCCTTTGTGTCACTTAATCGTCCCTGCCTTTGATTTTTGAACAGGTTCAGCCAATGCGCAGATTTTTTATGAATTCATAATGATTCTGTGCATGAGTTGCGAGGACTGCTGTTGCTGTTATATGTTTGTTTGTCTTGATTTGTCTTTGTCGCCGTCAGCCCTTACAGAGAACCAAACGTAGCATCTCCATGAAAAAGAAGACGGCCAAAAAGTACCCCACTAAAACTAAGCATAAGCCCTTAAAGTCGACTGCCAATAAATCCCCAGCTAAAACGTTTTTCCACAACAAGAAGACGACGTCGGGCTACCAGGCCACAGCACCGGCGCGACCCAGAGGCAGTTATAGGGTAAACTTTTGTCTCCCAGGGAAAAAGAACCGAATCCGATCAAGATTTGCCCTGAACAACGAAGGGAGAATCTATGATGGCGGATGTAGAGTTCCCCTAACCTCTCCTCTGTAGATGTAGCCTAGAGTGTAGTGAACTCCAGAGGACCCTCCCTCGATCGACCTCTTGTATGAGCCTTGTATTAACCCAGATTCTTCTTTCCTTTTCTTCCAACATGATTCAGCTAAACAATGTAGAGGGAGATTACTATACAGACATTGACTACGGAACTCTAGATGGTACTCAGACTCAGTCACCTGTTGCCACGAGCGGACCAAGCGAGGTAATTTTGTTTTCTTCCTTCTCAATCTGCATTTCCAAGTAAAAGCCACTGTTTGATGTTCTGGGACGTTTGACCCGTTTGACGGAGAACCTGGTATGACATGATAAATACACAACCATTCAACTGAATTAAAGTGTCTTTTGATTTGTTGGAGGTCTAGTATGTAGCTGAACTTGTGATCGACATGGGATATGTTAAGCAGTACTTAAGAGCGACAATTTATATTCTCCACTAGACACTAGAGAAGAAAACACATGCACTATGTGAAAATGTGTTGAAAGCCTTAAATTAATTTTATTGCTGTAGAATAATCTAAAACCTGAAACAATTGGAGAAATGTGATGTTTTTGGGGTGTTTTCACACTAATTACCCAGAATGCCCTGCTGTGTAGTCCGCTGGACCGCTTTTGGAGTGGTGTCTTGCATTCGGATGTGGATTCAAATCGCACCAGAGTTCACTTCGATCGAACCAAGACTTAGTTTCATTCCCTTTTTTGGTCCACACCAGAGATGCAGTTGCAAATTCCCACCAACCCAAATGAACCGGACTTTCCGGGCAAACGAACTGCAGCGGACTACACAGGGATGGCATGAACGCACCCTTTATCAGTGAGGCAAGGAAAAGCACAGGTGGCACGTTCATCTGTTGTTAATACTTCAAATGTCTCTTCCGTTGGTACAGAAATTAGTCCATTTCAGGTTGAATTTATTCTGCTGCAATAAAAGACAAAAGTAAGGTTTTCCACCACATTTTCACAAGTTCCAACAACCAATACATTCTCATCCGTTTTGTTTCCAGCTTCCGTTTTCCTATGGCAAGCAGTTTTCTCGACACATAATGCTTCATCTTTTACTCTGATCTGAGAAACTATGTGAATAGGTGAGACGTTGTAGTCCAGTCATCACAAAATGAAATAATTTGCAATTCGCTTTGTATTGTCTGTTTTTTGGATTGTCTAAGTATACGTTCAACTAAAGGAAACTTAGGCTTTAAGAGTTTCGTTGTGGGCTCATCATTGCTGCATCTCATCACCAGCCTGACTCATATCTCAGAATGTGGAAATAGATAATGTTCTGTGACCTTATAAATAACTCAAGAACACAAAAAGCCAACATATTCCCCATCGTTGTCCATCACATAGTTTGATCAATAGTTCTGCTAATTATTTCAAATAGAACTATGATCAACAGCCTGAAAATCCTCTCACAGCCTGCTATGATCGCGCTTTTGCTACCTCATTGTTTGGCAAATTAGATGTGATTATGCCGGGTATTTAAAATGAATTATTGGGCAGGAAGGATTACTTCCAACAAGTGTGTAATCGCATCTACTTTGCTGCGCTGCGAGGTTAAAGCCACAGTGATCACCATTTGGAATGTGAGAGAACCTTCTGCCAAGTCACTGTGGTTACAGTAAGTCTATGCCAGACACGGAGATCATGAGGCAACTTTAAAGGTTCCTAAAACACACAATGATTCATTGGGTGTCAAATCCTGATGTCTTCATGCAACATGACGGACTGATTTGATGCGTTTGCAAATTTGTGAGAGAGCGATCCGTGGCATCAGGCAGCCTTTTCTCTCTGCAGTCGGCACAAAAATGGCTGCATGACGAGAAAGAAAACGGCTGTCAACCAAGCTACCATTTGGAACGGTTGACAAATCGATGATAGCACTTTATTTATTACTACTTTTAGTCATATTTAGTTAGACATGTGGCAGTTACAAAGCCAACCAACCTTTACTAACCTACAAGTAATATCCAAAAATTAAGTGTTATCATTGTCATGTTTTCATTTTTTCTGTTGCCTAATATCTATGTAGTTTGCTTTTGTCACATTTACAATCCCTTGCAAAGGTTTTGATACCTCTTGGATATATAATAGTATCCTACAATAACAAACTTTAAGGCATTTTGATGTCATTTTGTGTGATTGAGCCAACACAAAGCTCTGCATAATTGTAAAACAAAAGAAGAAAGATTCTCCCTATTTTTGAACCCAAAAATAGAATGGCATTTCAGTCCCCTTTAGTCTGATGCAGCTAAATAAAATCTAGTGGAAGCGAGTGTCTTTAGACATCACCCATTTAATAGTGCGCAGTTCAGACGTCCTGTGAAGGCTTTTGAAGTTTTGTTGGGGAACATTAGTGAACAAACAGAATCATGAAAACCAAGGAACACAAATGGCAGGAATGCCAAAAGAGGAAATGAGGTCACAGCAACTCCAAACAAACAGCCACAGCTGCGGCCAACAAAATGGTTTAAATCAAAGAATGTTTTATGCTAGAATGGGCAAAGTTCAGATCTAGATCCAAATAAGAGCCAAAAATTTTCAAATATAAATTTGAAAATTTATATTTTGAAATGTTTTGGATTCAGTCTTTTGAATATAGTTCATTCATGTATATATTGCTGTTTCACAATAAGTGTCACCTGAAGACATCTTACTGAACTTGAGCAATCTTCCAAAGAAGAGTCGGGAGCCGTTCTTGTCTTTAGTTGTGTGAAGCTGGCAGAGACATAAAGACAAACTAAGAGAATGAAAGGTGGTTTTACAAAACAATTACTCAGAGGGTACGATTAAATAAAAAAAATTAAAAATTAAACTCTATCCTTTTTAACTTCTCTTTTTGCTCAGGAAATTGTCGTGCACTGCCTTGTGTTGGTCTATCACAGAAAAATCTCAAAAACAATGAATTTTGGGGTTCATAGGATATGAATTCATTTGCATTGGACTGTGAAAGTCATTTTTGCCTCAGTTTCATGACTAACAACCTCACCTGTTTAGTTGCTGATTGTTAACTTTCTCCTTCTTCACTTGTGTAACAATGGGAAGGCTGTAGAGGATTTTATCGGGGCGCACGTCACCGAAGCCCCTCCTCTCGCTCCGGAGCCCGGCACTGTGTTGGAAACCGGGGACAACTCGGAGACTGGTGCTGAGGCGTATGACTTTAAGGAGTATGACCTGAACGAGTATGACTTGGGCAAGTTAGACAACAAGTATGATTACGGGACATACGATGAGTACGGCCCCCTCCCATCTAAAGCCCCGACAGCCTATGATGAGGAAGTGGGGCCCGGGGTCGCTGCCGAAACCGACTTTTCTGAAAATACAGTAAGTATCGCACCCCGACCACGCCGACGGAGGGGTGTGTGCATGAATGGCATGACAAGAGGACTCCCTCTGTCTCCCAGTGCATGGACTTCTTTTGGCTTGGTTTGGGCAATATGTCATTGACGTGTTGAGTGTGGAGTAGTTCAGTGTTGATATTTCTCTTGTTCGATTTGAATCTACTACAGAAAAAGTGCATGCATCTGAAGAATCAAAACATATATATTGGCTAATTATACTCTTCCGTCTCTCTTCATCCTATAGAAACACACTTCATCTGTTCACACACAACCTACAATCAGTGGATGTTGGCCCAACCTACACCACGCCCATAAATACCTAGGAAGCCCACTGCCCCTCCCCACCCACTCATCTCTCAGCACTTGGACCCAATCCCTCCCTCTTCATCTCTGCTATTTTAACAAGCAGCCTGTAACATGTAGCTCCCTTTGTTCACTGCAGACAACCATTAAATCATCATTGGCACTGCCTGCACAGTACACACACACACACACACACACACACACACACACACACACACACACACACACACACGCATGCACTCACTCTATTAGATACATGATGTTCGGGTTTATTGCCTTCACTTTCTGCCAAAATTTTTGGGCTTGGCTTTCACCAAGCAACATGTACAATGTATAATTTACCTTGATAATAAACATGTAAGCCAGCGTCCCTTCACTCTAGAATGCTAATCTTCAGCCCGTCGTTGCAGTCTCACAGTGCTCCCAAATTATTATTATGCAACAGTTTCTTACTTTTTTCTAAGAACCTTTCATGCCGCCACAAAAAACATTTGAAAAGCGACAGCGGTTTCTGTTTGCTTCGTCAGCAAACTTCATCAGCACAGCTAGCTTGCTAGCTCAGGAGCTATTTCCCTTTATACTTCAAAGTAAAGGCCACAAACATAGATACAGAATATGTCGAGGTCAAGGCATTCCCCTAATAAATCTTAAGTATTATTTCCACTACTGACACCACCAAGAAGGTCAGACTTGTCTTTCTTTCGAACAAGTATTTACCCACACTACTCAGTGCAATCCATTGTGATGCAATGACAACTTTACCTAATTTCAAGTCTGATGTGTGTTCTTTCTTTTCAAGACTAACATTTGTAGAGTCTGGTGTCTCTGTGTTGTACGTATTTCCTCTGCAGACTATTGAATGAAACTTTCTACTTAAAAATGCTTCTTGGATATTTTCACCTGTTATATAAACAATGTCTTCTTTTTTTGTCTACAGGTCGCTGGTTCTCAAGCAGCCTTCGGACAGAAGGGCGAGAAGGGCGAGCCGGCTGTGATCGAACCTGTAAGGTCCAACATGTCCGAAACACGCTAATGCTATGATCTGTGTTAAATAACTTGTCGTTATGATAGAGACATCAGGTTTTACTGTGAAATTACATATGATCCAGAGCAACTGTGTTATGTGGATTGTGGTATACGTACCTCAAGAAAAACAATATGTATTAAACATCTTTGAAATTTAAGTTTTCAGGTTCTGTTTGAAAAAAAAAACATATTTTACACCATTTTGTGATGAGAGTGACAGAAATATAACCAAGCCATATTAACTGATTAATACTCATAGCTAGCCTGAGGTTGAGCCGTTTAGAGACATAAACCAGGTGTGTCTTTTTTCGTAAGCGAGGGACAAATACAGGTTTATTTCAGCAACTGGTGGGGGAGGGGCAGCAAGGCATAACTGTGCTTTTGCTCTATCATTATGGTCAGGACTTAATAACATTTGAAGTAATATTAACAGAGTCTCAGCTGTTCTGGCACTGGAACATTTTTAAAACCTTGGCATGTCTAGATTTTTTCCTTACAGTTTTCATTGAGAATCTGAAATATTATTGTGATAATGGACTCCCTACACAGCAAAATGTGTGTCTCTTTAGGGCATGCTGATTGAAGGGCCCCCAGGACCACCTGGCCCATCTGTAAGTGTGGCGTAAAAACAAAAGTAAATGTAAATATATGTGGGATTTGACGAGAAGGTAGTAATGCTCACTTATATTTGTATTTCAGGGTCTTCCGGGACCATCTGGCCTTCAGGGACCCCCGGGCCCTGCTGGAGATCCTGGTGACAGAGTGAGCAAATGCATACCTTCCCAAACCTGTCCGAATTGTTTCTATTTGCAGTACAGCATCATGTGTATTATTCCATTGTTGATTAAAAGTGTTGGTATTAAGTTTTATCTGCACTTAGTAACTCCACGACAAAAACTGAGACGTTTCGAAAAGGTTTGTATTCAAGGTATTTATACCTGAAGGATGTTCATGAGCCCATTTTGCAGTTTACCTGTTAACTCCATAAAAGTTTAAACCAAAATCATTAAGCAACGTAAAGATTAATAAAATAAAGTCAATAAAATCTTTTTTCATAAGTAACTTAATATTTTTTGTTTTTCATGGCTGGATTTTACTTTTAACATTGAAAAGTCAGATTTTCCAACACAGATTAATTACAGATCAGTTTTGAATGCATAACAGTGACGTAGCTTTTGAGTTTTGAAACAAGATGATAATTTGAGACTGAATTGTATGAACTGAAATCTTTTTGTTACTTTCACCAAACAAAAAAAATCCAAAATTTAAAGAAAAAGAAAATGAACATGTTGCTTATGATAACAACGACTAAACACATCTGGCTGTCTCTTTTGAGGCTTTTGCTCCATCCTTACACTAACTTCCACACACAGACAACACGTCCTTGCTGCTCTGAAAGGATGTTGGTTTTGGACCAAAAACTGTTTGGTCTACAAAGGGACAGGCAGAGCTCAGGGCCTGGTGGTGGGGTGGAGGTCTTAGAATATGTAGATTTAGTGTGGTGTCTTCAACGCTGGCTTCCAGATGTGGGATGGTTCTCAAACACCTGTGGAGAGTTTTGTTTTTGTTTTTTCCTGAGCAATATTGAAGGCATAACGAGGTTACATCTGTTTGGGGGCAACAATTGCAAAGATTAATTGTTGCAAGTAAAAATTCAATTAATATCAGCCATTAGGACATTTAAATATTCTATCTAACACACAGCACAACAATAGAAAGGAGGACATTTCAACATACAGCTAAAAGTAGTATAATTTACATTAAACATTAATAATAAAACTAAAGAGTCACAGGGAAACAAAGGAATATAAAACGAGATCATTTCAAAATTATTCAAAACATAAGTGAAATTTTCATTATCTAGAACTGTTGATTTAATAGCTTTTAGTTCCAAATCCAAGAGTTCGTACAGTAGGACCAGAGATGAGTTGGTGATGATTTTATTAAATTGATTTCGCCTCGTCTTCAACATCAGGGTCCCCCTGGCCGCGCCGGTCTCCCCGGCGCCGACGGCTTACCGGGACCTCCAGGTACAATGCTGATGCTCCCGGTAAGTCCACCACAAAAGAAGTCCATCTTTTGATCCCATCGCTCACATAGCGTACCGAGCCGTTTGCGTTTGTGTGTGCCGAACAGTTTCGCTTCGGTGGGGACGGCGAGAAGGGTCCGGTGGTATCGGCCCAAGAAGCCCAAGCACAGGCCATCCTCTCCCAAGCCAGGGTGAGTGAAAACCTACAGACTGTCAGCTGCATCCACTTCTCTTTACACAGTGCTCGCTGCGTGGGGGGTGAGCGGAGCAGAGGTGTTTGGATGGGGGTTTTGCTGGGGAAAAGGAAGGGGGTTGCCCTGTGTTTTGTTGACTTTGTGAGGCTAAAAGAAGACTTGCTGAGAAAGGGCCTAAGAGCAGCAAAATAAATAACCACTTTGAACAGATGCTCATGCAGGAGAGTCCGCTGAAAATACAACTTACTATATTTGGGTTGGGTGAACCAACAGCTGGACAAAATGGGGTGAAAACTGCAACCGAGTTGAATAAGATGTAAATTCAGTGAATTATCCAATTAGTTAACACAAGATTTTTGGAATACTTAAATTACAAAACTAATTTCAATTATTTTTTTAACCTGTGTAGTAAACTAAACAGACAGTATATTTATGAAATTAACTCAGTTATAACTTAGTTTTTGTTAAAGATGCATCTGTGAGTCATCGTACAGCTAAAACATAAAAAGGTGTCCTGCGCGTTTGCCTCATTAAAAAACATTAAGCACTAAAGATTTTTGGATAGTTTTCTTCCAGTAAAAGACTCTCAACGTCTGGTTGTTTGTTTCTAGCATTTGTGCATTTTAGTAGCTCAGTAAAAATAAACCTCATAAATATTTCTTAAAAAACGTCCATCTGCATCGAGCACCTGTGCCGGGGGTCAAATTTGTGGCATTCCTGAGCGGTGGTCAGGGCTGCAAAATGGCCCTCAGGCTACACTAAACATTTCTTGATGAGGAAAATACCCGAATAAAATATCTCTATAGTGCAAAACAGCCAAAAATAGTTACAAATGTTTCAGTCTGGATATTAAAGGAACTTCTAAAAGACTGCCTGCTCACCTGGAGAGAAAATGAAAACATGCTCACAACATATCTTTACATTTAAATTAATCAATTTTTTTTGTTTTTGTCTAACAATTTCAAATTGAAAATGTTGGTGTTGTCTCTGTTTGTGGCCTGCAGCTGGCGATGAGGGGACCTCCTGGGCCAATGGGTTTGACTGGAAGATCTGGACCAGTGGTGAGGCTCTCATTTTTTTATATTTTGCTGTTCACAAATTGTGACATGACCCGTCATATCTGCCTGGATGACGGAGAGGCAGTCAGCAAATTCTTTTGAACCTTACAGGAGAAAAAAAAACCCAAAACAACAAAAACACGTTTTAAGGTGTTTGAAATGATTATTTTTAGTGTAGCCTAAAGTTTGTGTCTGATGTGTGTATTATTAGTTTGTTTCTCCTGCCTTAAGCAGCTCAGTGGACACACTACCTGTCTGTTAAGTGTAGCTGCCCCCTACCACACCCAGACCCTTCATTTTTCTTGGGACCTATTGTCACACGATCTGGGGCTTATTACGCGGAAACGAGACAGAGAATTACACCCCATTCAATTTGCTCATCTCTTCTGAGGAGCAGCAGGAAAACTCTGATAAGATCAGATGGTAATAAGTCGATCCGAAGGAAAAAGATGAGATTAGATCAGCGATTGGTGGATTCTATCTGACTGAAATAATAACTTAATAGTAAACAAAGGGAGTCATTATAATCAAGCTGCTTCTCCATAGTCAGCTCTCAAATCTACGCTGATATGAAGGCTGATGTCAGAGCTAGAAGCTGATCTTTCTTTTTTTGTTGTTTTGTTTTTTTCATTGTAAATAAATGTGCAACTTAATATTCTAAATAAATAACGTGGTTGTTCTATATGATGTACTTTGCGTTTTCTAAGGTTTGGATCGTTTGCACCGATGTTTCAAAATCTGATTTACGTGAGACATTTATTTTGAATTGAACATCAATATTTGTAAAAAAAAAAATCCATAATAAGAAAAAATAAATAAAAAATTTGTCACAACAGAGTGAAAGAGCCTTGAAATTTCATATTTCCATGCAGCTCTCGCTGCCATGAGTTGAATTCATTCTCTTTATACCAAGCTAAATAATGCCATCTGCTGTCTGGTCTGGATTATGTCATTTATTTTGCTCCGAGGTATAGCCGAAGCAAAAGATTCATGAAGTGTGTGTTGGTGTGTTTTTTGTCTTTAGGGTCCACCTGGCTCAAGTGGGCTGAAGGGTGAAAGCGGTGACCCCGGACCTCAGGTGAGTGAGGAATAATAATTCAGCCGATGAACTGAAGTGTCTTTCAGTTCCCACTAAATGCTGCTTTCAAACTCTTGCTGGGCTCTAAATGGGTCTCCTGTGCCTACGCAGGGCCCACGTGGCATTCAAGGACCCCCTGGACAACCTGGCAAAGTTGGTAAAAGGGTGAGTGAACTCAGTCACCTTGAACTCCCACGTGGAAAAGTGTGCGTTTGTGTGCACACGTGCAGCCGTGTTTTTATTTTTTCGCTAGACTCGAACGCTGAGAAGATTGTTTTCACTCCAATAAACAATTTGTTGATAAGTGCTTACAGGCCCCCGAGCAGCTGCCAATCCTGGGAGCCACGGCCTCGCAGCTAATCTGTCTGAAAATTCCAAAAGTGGGAAAACTGGCTGTGGATGTGGGGCCTGCAGTCAGTCGCCACTGTGCAGCAGGAGCTCAACTCGGGGCCAAACGTCCTGATATATTAGGACAATAATGGATAGAAACCGTCCAAAAATTTACGAAATGAACCAGTTTCATTCGTCTGCTCTGAAGTGTTTGAATTAATTAATTCTGAATTGTTTATGTGAATCTAGAAAGCGTCTCTGTGTCAGGAGTTTGATACATGAGCTTTCACACACAGCCTGCCTGAGGTGTTAGCAAGCTTTGTGGCAACTTGGTAATTTGATTTCACATAGGACAGGCTTGCAAATGCACCAGCTCCAGGTATACTGCCATGCTAAGAAAAGCCTTCTTGATTAGAAAATGGTTTGAACAGTTATATTTTAATACATTAAAATGTCAAATTACTAGTTCAGGCATTCTTTGTGCAAACTGTAACTTAAGTATAGATCTATGGCTTTTTTTTTTGTCTGAAATTCAATTTTTTATTTTTTTATTCTTATTTTTTTTTGCGCATTCGTTCATACCACTAATTAAATGTGACTGTAATGAAACTTCTGTGTGAACGGTTTATTACTCCAAATCGACCCGCATGTACAGAAAAGGATTGTTGAGATCAAACTCTACTTCTGTAAACAAGTACTGCTGTACTTGTTTACAGAAATATTAATGGGACACACTGTCTATGGATACATTTACAGCTATTCAGAGCCAATAGTGTCGTCATAAGATCTTAGCGACACGAAGGAAGCCAATGAAAACAGAGCACATCTAAAACCAACGGCCTTTCTGTCGAGCATCGACTACAACTTCTGTCTGGATGCACAGTCAGGACTAAGAATGGTGCGATTGTGATGTGATGCGCTTCAGTGACACAGATGTCTTTCATCACGTTTTCAGAAATCTAATTTCCAGATTACCTCCAGATTTACCGCATCTGGCTTCTTCTGGTGAAGAAATGTGACGCACGTCTCACGTTAGTGACGAAAAAAGTCGGATAAGATGCGACATGATCGTTCAAACTTGAAAAACAATCAGATGTTTATTTGAATTAGCACCGCATATGGATGTGGCAGACATTTGGATTTTGTTTTGAAGTGAAAAGATTGGAATCGGGTCATTCAGACAGAAAGTCGGATATAGGTCATGTTTTGGATCTACTATTTCCTCTGTTGTAAACGGATGGCGAAATATTTTATCCATTATTTCCAGTTACCCTCCTGGTTATTACTTCCACAAAATGAATTTCTGTATCGTTACTACACTCTAAATAATTGATCAAAGTTATGCTGGTTGCAACAGGTGCTGAACTTATTTATTTGTAGAAATGCATCAATTGAAATTTTGTGGCTGATTTCTGAGTAACGACTTTTCTGTAACAACTTGACCTGCTGATCCCAAAATGCAGCCTCTTAAGAGTTGTCATAATTTACTGAGACGTTTTTTAGTCCCTGTTCTTTTTGTGTGGGAGAAATCTCTGTCAATATGAGTTTTATGGCAGCCTGTGTGGATTTTCTTTAGACTCTGAGCTTTTTAAAGATCTGCCAGCATTTCTGAATCCAGCAACTTCTGTGGCAGTCTGAGGTTAAAAGCCCTTTAAAGTAAAGCAGAGCAGCTTTGCTGTTCTCTGATCAGCCTTCATGTTATTTGAGGAAATGTGCTCACAAGCTGAACAAAATACAGACATTTCAAGAAAATACAATTTGATTTTGAATTGATTCTTACCAAATAGCTTTGAGTCTTCTTCACTCAATTCCACACTGTAAAGTTACATTATCAGGTTGCTCAAGTGTGTTGCGTTGACAAATCGTAAAAATTTGTGATTTTTATGTTTCTGACCAATTCTAATTCACTCAGGAACATTATTTTTCTCTTGGAGTATCTGTAGTTCAGGTTTTTCATTCCAGTAAAATATTTCATCATTAGGAATGATCCACTTTTGTTGTAGTTTTCATTGAATACTGTAATTGTTCCTGACAAACTCAGTCATTTAATACACAGTGGTGAAATTTTACAGTTCAACCTGTGCAAAAAAAGTTGCTAAAACCCAAGTCCTTGGTCTTTGCTTTGCTTCGTACAGAGGATCTGAACCCTTCTCTACTGAGAAACGAATCATTCCTGGAGGCTTGGACTGAAGTTTTACCTTTTTTACCTTCCTGGAAATTTCTTGCACCTGTAAATGACCACGGATGCTAATGCTAATGCTAACTCGGTATTTGGGAGTGTGGCCAACACAAACTTGACACCGTCGTTCACGTCCTGTAAATGTTGCCACTGCTAAATTTACAGGCAGACTACAATTCTGAAGCAGCACAGAAAATCAATGTCAACGTTCGCTTATTGGCCAATTGTGGAAATTCTGCAATTGAAATTGCTCTCAGTGGGAAATATCCCGAACGGAGCACTGAAGGGAGATGAGAATCAAACAGAATTGCATTGGAAAGCAATTTATGGGCTACTTTACAGCCAATCACACCTGGTGGTAAGAAAGAGCTAAACATTACAGACACCATCACCTCTAATTGACTTCTATGTAGATCTTAACTAATCTAAAACACGGTGGTATTTATGAAACATTCATCTACGTGCGGATAAATATCATGAATATTTGAGTGTGAAATGTGTTTCTCTTCCATAATAAGGGCCGGGCTGGTGCTGACGGCGCTCGTGGAATGCCCGGAGAGCCAGGCTCTAAGGTAAAAACCACTGAACGTGTTAAAAGGGGATAATAAGGGAAATACGGCTGCGTATCATTCATGAGGATGTGGTTTCATTGTGTGTCACTATTTTCACCCACAGGGTGACCGAGGCTTCGATGGACTTCCCGGGCTGCCTGGAGAAAAGGGCCACAGGGTGAGCGCAGAGAGGCCGACGTTGCTTTTTGAGTTTCTTAAACTTAATTTTTCCATTTTTGATGATGTCGCTGTTTTAGATCAGAGCTAAAAGCTGAGAATCTGATGTGCTGGGGGAAAAAAACCCAAAAACAGATTATTTTGGTATGAAACACTTCTTTTAGCTAATTCTGAGCTTCATGACATAAATACTGTTTATGTCACAAAAAGCGGCGTTAAAGCAAAATCTCCTTACTGGTGATTTGTTTTCTTAGATTACTATAATTTACCAACGAGGTGGCGGGGGCTTTTTTAACGTTTTAGATTCCCAGTATCTTCTCATGATCGTGTTGAGAACGCGTCTTAAATTTGAATGTGATGAGTGAACGGCTGCTGTGCCAAGAGGGGGGAGGTATTGAATGAGAAGCTGATCTCTATTCCACTCATTGACCCGCATTAATCAGAACGCGTGAAAAGATGAAATCAAAGCGGAGCGTAGAAGCCAAGTCAATAGTTTTAGAGGGCATCAGTCTCTCTGCTCATCCCACATCGGTTGTGGTTGAATTTATTTCTTACTACAGTTTAATGAATCAGTTTCAAGACCTGAAGATTTTATAGTACAAGAAGATATAGTATAATAGTTCATTAAAAAGTACAAAAGGGAAATGCATTTTCAAATGTAGATACAAATGAAGTCAGGTGTTAGCAAATATTAAAGTGGACAAAAGTGGATGAATAGAAAACCTTCAGCAGACTAGTGAATGATTGATCAAATATGTAACTCCACGATCAACAATTTTAATCAGTTTTCATTTGATAAGCACTTTTTGTACAGTCACGTTTAATAGGAAGTCTTTTATAGAAGTGAAAAACGTCAGATTAAAAATTACAATGGAAATGCACAAGTATTACTGCCATGCTAAGAAGTTAGAAAAATAGTTATGAGAGTAAAATTGTGACATTTTGAGAAAAGAAATTATATTATTACGAGAACAAAGTTGGATGAGACTAAAGTCATGATGTCATGAGTTTTCATATTACAACTTTGTTCTCATATTATTTTGACAAATTTTATTATTATTATTATTATTATTATAAATATTTTCTTTTTTTTTCAGTTCAGTTTGTTAAATAGTTTTATCGATGCATTGCGCCACAGCTGGCCATTTTGAAGCCAAAATGACAATGAGACGAGCCCGAATGCTGCAGAACAAAGAACAACTTTGAGTTTTACCAAACGTAGAAAGCCAAGCCGACGTAATGGTAATCGGTCTATGAAAGATGAACCTGTCTGCCGTGGTTCGCAGGGTGAGCCGGGGCCGATGGGACCAGCAGGAGCCCCAGGAGAGGATGGACAGAGAGTGAGTACCCTTTAAAGTTCCCTCTCCGCCTCTGACAGAGGTGACAGCTTTGTCTAAATCAGCTGTGCTGCACCCTCAGGCACACACACACACACACACACACGCACACGCACACACACACACACGCACACCCACATACACACACACACACACAGGGAGGACACAATAAACTGAGGAGGAGGAGAATTTGTGTCTAACCTTTCCACCCCTCCAACTAAATACCCTAAACTGCCACACCGCATCCACCACAAAGCTGTCACAGGCTCAGATTAGATCTCCGCCTGATTTAAAAGTAGTGTTGCTCCGTATTATGTAACAACGTAATAAAATCAGGCTTCAGAATGTAATAAAACTTCACTAAAACCACATTACGTACCAATTGACTTGAATTGTTTTGCCTTGAACAACATACTGGTCATACTGGTACCGAAAGTTCTGGTGACAAGTCTGAAAAGGCGACAAAACCACCAACAGTTTGGAATTTATGGACCAAAGTTTCAATTAAAGTGCGTATAAAATCTGCATGATTGTTCTCATTAGCACAAAGATTAGGACGAACACAAACAGTTTGTGCCACATTATGATGTCATTTCTAAAAAAAAAAAAAAAAAAAACATTTTGTAATTTAATTAAAGCCACACTAAAAGCATCAGAGTGGCACCAAGTACCACAAGATGCATTAAAAGGGTGTGATTTTGTTTTTTGCTCCGATTATTCCATAATGTGGTTTTGCTACATGCAGAAGGTTGATTTTATTACATGGTTGTACGCGCTTGTACTTTCCTCCACGTTATGTAATAATGTTATTTTATTTTGCATCAGTTATTACATAATGCGCCTTTAACAATGTCTGACAACATTTTGCAGGCTGATTTTATTACATTGCTGCGCATTTCCTGAAACACTTTCCGCCGCTTTACGGATTTTTACGACGTGGGGACGTGGCTCCTTATTAAAAATGCCAACGTAATAAAGTGGCACATCGTGCATTAAACAAACACAAGCAATAATCATTAAATGTGTGTCATGTTGTAGATACTGTATGCAGTTAAACTGAAACTTTTGCAGATAAATGCAAAACCCTTGCACATTTAATCAACTTTTTGAGCCTCAAAATTATCCAGAGCCTTCAGTATTAACCTGCATGTCAATCCAAATGTGTTTTATTGCACAATTAGACAATATTACACAATTATTATTATTATTATTATTTTACATCACAGATTGCTAACAGGTTAAAGATTGTTGTTGTACTTTTATTTTAGCATTACTTATCCAACCTGCAGCATTTTTAAAAATATTCATCTTTTTTTTTCTTTCCAAAGGGTGAAGACGGAGAGATTGGGCCCAGAGGGTTAGCTGGAGAGAGCGTAAGAGTCGGATCACTCTACAAAACTTTGGCATGTACTGGGGCTAATAATTTTCTTCCAACTCTTTGTGTTATTTTTCTTTTTCTTCTGTTGTTCTGTAGGGCCCCAGAGGTTTGCTGGGACCTCGCGGTCCTCCGGGACCTCCCGGAGTGCCGGTGCGTACCGTGACTGTTATCGTCTTCCCTCCTCCGATAACCCACTTCCTGTAATTGATATGACAAATCGTTTTCTTATCGCCTGTCCTCAGGGCGTTGCCGGAGTGGATGGGCCACCGGGTCCCAAAGGCAACATGGTACACACACACACACACACACACGCACACACACACACACACACACACGCACACACACGCACACACACCCTCCTCTACACTCAAATGTTTCCTTATCAGCTCCCGGGGCTGCGAACGTCGAAGGGTGTTGGACTATTGGTTCAGATTGGACCCTATATGACCGGGTTTTAAAAAAATGCCTGCAGGATGCACAGCTGTGGGGTGAAAGGTCAGCCCAGCACCACGAAGCAGCTCCGAGGCAGGGCACATAAAGTTCAACAGCTGATCAGAACCTGGCTCGTAGTTTTCCTCTTCATATTAAACGGACGGTAAAAGCATTAGAGGGTAAAAACAAACATAAAGACGCAAATATGACCTGACTGTGATCAGCTCAGATTCTGATATTATTTTTTTACTCTAAAGCAACTTTATGAAGTCCTTTGTGGGGTGAAAACTGCGATGTAAATCTGGTATCTTTTCATTCATTTAAAAAATTGGCAAGAAACAGAAATAAATGAATAAATTATGGCAATTACTGCATTTAAGAAATAAAACATAAGAATGTCCCCACTTTATTTGGTTTTATATTTTAGGATAAGTGTTTTTTTTTTTTGTTTTTTTGTTTTCAACAGTACTAACTTAACTTTCCATTTTATTTTCAATCTTATTATGTTTCCTTATTCATATTATTATTTTTTGTCTATTTTTTCATATTATGTATTTATTTTAAAATAAATGATGTTTAAAAACTTAACATGTTATTTTTTATTTCTTTCTTTTAATGTTCAGAATTTATTTGATATTTTTTGTTTCTCTTTCTTGGTCTCTTTCTTTCATTTTTGTTTCTTCCTTTTATTCTTCCTTTCCTTTTCCAAAGCAAAACTGGACTCCTCCTGGTGCTAATGCAAACATGTATGAGGTCAATATTCAAACCTGATCAGTTTCCTTTAAACTAAGTCAGTCTGTTTCTTTAAGGGACCACAAGGGGAACCGGGCCCACCGGGTCAGCAGGGAATCCCTGGAACGCAGGTGAACGAATCAAACGCACAGCAGAAAACATGCTGTGCAGCTGCACATGCAAGACAGCGGCCACATCAGTATTTAAATCAATTTAATCAGCTCTAAACCCAACAGCCTAATTTACATGATGTAGCGCTTAAGCATTTTCAGTTTTATAAATAAATATGTTTTTTTTTTTTTTTGCCAAGTTTGGATTGGAATAATTAATTTGCCACAAATCTCTTTATCCTTTATAAATGACACACACATATGGGAGCTAAGTGTTTAAACTGACACTGCAAAAAACACAAAATCTTACCATATATGTTGGCTCCACTCTCTAGTGCAAATATTTTTAGTGCATTTGAAATGATACAAAACTAATGTGGAAGTAGTTTTTCCATCAAGATAAAGGAGTTTGTTTTAAGTTAATAATGCCATGATATTAATACAAAAATGACCAGGAATACTGGCAGATTATGTCACTTTTCACATGATATAAGTGAAATAATCTAGAATGAGAAGTTTTTTATTCTTAAGAAGTTATGACATTTAGTTTTCTTTATTCCTGCTCAGCTGCTCCACCTGTTGGTGTCCTGATGAATAAACGGCAGCATGCATCGGGTGCACATACGGGAGCACATCCACAAATATTTGAATGTGTTCCCTTCCACAAACTGAATGCAAATGTCCCTCCACACACACACACACGCACACACACACACACACGCACACACACACGCACACACACACACACACACACGCACACACACACACACACACACAGCCTGACAGTTCAGTAGCAGCTCCACTATTTACAGCACCAACAAACTCCTGGGTTTACTCAACTTGTGTTTGTGGGTTTGAGTGTGTTTGTTGTTGATGCTACACAGATATTTATTTATTAAGTGCATGTTGTTTTACAGGGCCTCCCGGGTCCTCAAGGTCCGATCGGACCACCTGGAGAAAAAGTAGGTTTTCTTTTCTTATTCAAATGGATTTAGATGTACGTTTTCTTGCGTTGTTGCAGTTGATTACACCAGTTTTCTTCTTCTTTTTTAAAATCTTCTGCATCTCTTCCTCGTACAGGGCCCTCAGGGCAGGTCGGGACTTCCTGGATTGCCTGGAGCTGACGGGCCTCCTGTGCGTGCTCACCTGATACGTTACTGCACACATACGCATCACTTCTTTAAGATAGCATCCTTCTGCCTCAGTAAATTAGGTCCATCTCAGTAAATTAGAATGTCAACAAAAGGTTAATGTAGTTCAAAATTTGAAACTGGTCACCTAATGGACTTAACAATCATGGGAAGGACTGGTTCACTGCTGGAAAATTGAGTGGAAGGAAAAGGTTTATCTAGATGCATCTGTAGCTGCTGTTTTGAGAAACATCCTTGTTCGCAAACAAGTTAGAATGTAATAATTCTGTGTGAAATAAAAAAAGCTAATTAGAGAAAACTATTTAAAAATTTGTAAGACCCATTTTTAATACAGAAAAAAAAGAACAAATGTCAAAAATTTAGAGGTTTTTTTTTTCGTGCCAATTAAAACAGACTTAAATGTGGCACTGTCTTGTTAAATGAACGGATCAGCACAAATTAGCTGAAAAAGCTGAAATAAAGTAGGACATTTTCCAAATCTTCTAAAGCAGTTTAAACATTTACATTTACATTAAAACAGTTGTTGGATTGCACATTTGTTTTGTCTGCAGCAATGCTACTAGAAGAATTAGCTGGAAAATTAGAAAAAGAGCCTGAGGTCCTGTTTTTGTTCTAGCTCAAAGTAAGTGGAAGGAATTGACCTTCAACAAACGTGAGACGTTAGTCATGATTTTAAAGCTTCCTTCATTCATTCCTATAGAGAAAAAGTCCACATTTATTGAAGTGTAAAGTTTTTAAATGACAGAAATCACGGCAGACGCTCGCTACAAAACAAGGGAGTGACACTGGATGTCATGTATATTCAGTTTGGACTGTAAAGAAAACATCATCCATGCTATGCAATGAAGAAATACACAGACAGAATATACGTCTTCTTCTTTGGTTTACGACAAATGGCGAACCTTTTGGCAGACATGTGCCTCTGAAACCTCTCAAGGTTGTTTTTCACGGCAGCAGTAAAGCGCCCGTGGGCTTTGTTATCCAGACCTGCTGTTGCACCGAGTCGTCGGCCGAAGAGGCAAACACTCTCAGCTGCCCTCGGGCCAAAGAGCTGCCCGACTTACAGCTCTCCGCCTCCACGTCACACGACGAATAACAAGTCGCCGGTTGTTCCTCACAGCCGAAGCTGTTCCTGGTGTAGCAGGGAGCTTCATCACACCAACTCGTCATAACACTGAAAATTAATCACTTATTGCTATTAAAAGTAGCGGTTTAAGTCAAAATGACCCCTCACACAGCTCGAACGTCCTGTTGATAAAACCGAAGCTTGAGAAGGACAAAAAAAAGTCTGATGTTTTATTCATGGACCCTGCAGTATTTGGCCTTGATCTGGCTCATAGAACCACGTTTTGCTTTGCTGGCCATCTGCAGCAGATATTCAGTGCGGCTCAGAGACTTCCTGCTGGTGGCAATACCAGCTCATGTGTGTCTCAGATAGTTCTGAGGAGCTGCTGCATGAGAGTCTGGTCACAAGCCACTGTGTTCAGCGTTTTACTGAATAACATTATTGAAGTGGGTCTTTTCTGACCAGTTTGACGCTTTTTTTCACAGGGTCATCCTGGAAAGGAGGGTCCACCTGGAGAGAAAGGTTCTCAGGTAATATTTACAAATTAATTAATGCACATTAATAAATATAGTGGCACAAACCTGTGTGATGTAAAAGACAACTTCATTCACCGTACCAGGCAACCTTCTGTTGTTTAGTGGTACAGTTCTGGTTCTCATGAGCCTTTTATAAGACAACTTCAGAGGTGGATAGAGGTCAACATATGTACCCTAACCCTGCAGTCTGGAAGGAAGCAAACCGCACTGCGTATCCTCACACGAGCACTAGCTTAACGCGGTAGCTCGTCTGCTACTGCGGGACTCGTCTGCTGAGTCCCACTACAGAGACATGCCTTCGCTTCCCTCATTCGTCAACGAACCATGGCCGCTGTTGTCGGTTTTGCCACTGTTCCTACCTTGGATCTTGCCATACTCTAACTACTGGAGACCTGGAACACTCAAAAATCTTCAAAGTGGGTCAAACTTGCTCCAAACCCTTAAAATGTTCCATTTGTCCTGCTTCCAACACATCAGCTATGACGACAAGACGTTCCCTTCCTGTCTGTTACCTGTCATACGACAACCAGTGCCCCAATGGAGAAATAATCAATATTAACTACTTCCTCTGTCAGTCGACATTATGACATAATGAGACACAACTTCAGTTATTTACTAGCAGATGCTTTAAGAAAGTATTCACTTCCTAGTAAGTAAGTCGATAAGTAGTGACTGTTTACTTACTATTGATTTTCTAGTATGGTTTAGAAAGCTTCATAAATTTTTTTCTTGATTTCACAATCATTGATAAATTAGAGTACGTAATATTACAGTCTATTGAGACTCTTGTTTAGTTTTGATGTAAATATGGGTAAAAAAAAAACTAGCTTCTGAAAGCTATTTTCTAATTTATCTTTTGGACATTTTACATTAAGATATATAGCATACTATACTTAAATGTTAGATGAGAAAATAATTAGCTTTGAGCACTATTGCGTAAATGTAATGAGATCTTGAAACAAAGTTGTTATTTTCAAAAGCAGTATTAGAATTGAGTTTTTTGACACATTGAGCAATCAATAAAATGTGATGTTGCTGTAGGGTCCACTGGGTCCTCAGGGTCCTCTTGGTTATCCTGGCCCCCGGGGTGTAAAGGTAGGATTGTTTTAGTGAATGATTTTTATTAGAAATTTATCATTTTGGTTTTGTGTTGGGTTTTAATTCTGGTTTCTCTTCATCAGGGCGCCGACGGAGTTCGTGGGCTGAAGGGATCAAAAGGAGAGAAGGTAAACTTGTTAATGAGCCAGTTTGATCTCCTAAGTCAGAGTGCAGATGTTCATATACAATGCCAAATGCAATAATACCAAAACATATGGAATTGCCAGATACATAAAGAAAAAAACACGTATAAAAAATAATTTTACTTCCATCCTTCCATCATTCCTTCTTTCCTTTACTCCTTGCTTCTTTTAATACTTTTTCACTGTTCCTCTGGCTTTTTTTGTTTGTTCCTTCCTTCTTTCTGTCCGTCCTTCCTTCCTTCCTTAGTTCCTTTTTCTATTCCTTGCTTCTTTTCTGTCTAAGACTTCCTCCTTCCCTTCCTTACCTCCATTTTTTCTTCCTTTGCTCCAGCCTTCATTCTGACTGTAAATGAGTTTGTTTCCTTCCTCTGCTTAGTCACCACTTTTCTTTCATCTCTTTATATACATAGATATCGATCAGGTTTCTAGCAGACTCGACGCGATGGACAGCGAGGGGTGACAGTGAAAACAGCAGAGAAGGCGTAAAAAGTTTGAGAACAGGCTGCGAATGCATTCATGTCACAGATGTTCTGTCTGAAGCTGCCGTCGTCTACCTGTCGACTTTGTTTTGACTCTCCTGAGCTGAAGTGGCAGCTCGGCGCGGGCCGAGCACGACGCGGCGGTCAGTCGACTCACATGCATATGCCAAGATCCTCAGAGGGAGGCCGAGTCTTGCTTTTAAAGTGACCCTCAGTCACTCACAGCTGGATGTGAAGCTGTCCTGCTGAAAAGCTTCATCTGTCAGAGAAACCACTCCAGTCACCAGACGCCACAATCTGTGCCGGAGTTTAAACCAACTCCAATATTCAGCATCAGCGCGGTTATGCAGCGGCATATACATATAAAAAGCAAAAATCTATTATGTTACTCGAGGGAGTTGTTCCCACTGCAGTGGCAGGCATTTGTCTGATTTTTGTTCTGAATTATTAATGATGAGGAGGGGAGACAGACCTTGAGGAGAAAAAATTATGAATAAACAATGCGGATTAATTGAAGTGTGTATCCAGTAAGGAAGCAGGGTAGAGGCAAAAACATGTTCGGCTCTGCATTATGCATCGGTACTGCTGGAACACAAGAGGTCAAAAGGAAAGGAAGGAAGGAACTCACATGCATATGCCAAATATATCATGTTGAACAGACAGACTTTGATGTTAACAGTATTTTGGTCTTAAGTATAAGAAATCAGAACAGTGAATTGATTTTTTGGATATGCTATTCCACTATCTGGCCACCAGATGGCAGCTCTACTCCTTTGTTGCCCATTAGGAATCGGTTAAATGTAGCAAAGTGTTAGCTAGATCAGATCCTTTTTGGTGTTTATAAATGAATTTTTTTTTTTACCAGTATTTTAAAGAAATTACCAAATATTTGTTTCTTTTAGGGCGAAGACGGTTTCCCAGGTTTTAAAGGAGACATGGGAATCAAGGGTGACCGGGTGAGGAGCTTGAATAAAACATCTTATTTACTTATTTTGTTGTTTTTCCACCACACAACAAAAACACAGAAAACCCACCAAGGGTATTTGGGGCACTTTCTAGTGCAAATATCTTGGCACACTTGAGCTAAAACAAAACTTATTGATGAAAAAGTACTAGTTTCACTGAGAGATTATTTCACTTGTAATATGGGGAAATATGTTGTTATATGTTAAATAAAGTAATGGTGGAGCTAGTATTTTATTTATTTATTACCAATATTACAGATTTTTTTAGAACTTACAACAACCTTTTATATATTGTTAAAAAGTTACTAATAAGTTAGTTTTGCATAATTTAAGGCGTACAAAGATTTGCACTAAAAATAGAGGATAAATACTCTGTAAGATTCTGTGTTTTTGCTGTGAACTTCATTCACTCTACTGTGTATATTGAAACACTAATTTGAGCATTTTATATCTATTTTTCTTGTGGATGGCAGGGTGAAATTGGCATGCCTGGGTCCCGTGGAGAGGACGGTCCTGAGGGACCTAAAGGCAGAGCTGGCCCCAACGGAGAGTCGGGGCCTCTCGGTCCAGCGGGAGAGAAAGTAAGGAAAACTCTTTTATTTTCCTGGCTCTAGCTAAGTTGGACTTTTGCCCTTGCTCATCTTGCCGATGTGTCCCAGGGTAAACTTGGAGTCCCAGGATTGCCAGGTTATCCCGGACGACAGGGACCAAAGGTAAATATGAGTTACTTTCAACACAAGAAGCATCATACCTGATAAAACATCACAGTGGGCCCTAGCAGCCAGTGTGTAGACTATCTTTAATCTTATTCATATATATTTTGTACACCTAGAAATGTATTTCAAGGTGAAACATTTCAGCAGTTTAGGTGAAATACGAGCCATACGTAAGAGAGAATAACCTGATTCAATAAACGATTCCGGCTGAGAGTAAAAATATACATTTTCCATAAAAGTGACTGATTATTAGACATGGAATTATAAACAGGCACTTGCTAAAGGTATACTTTTTAACATTTTGTGGAAAGGAAAGTTTTGATTGGTTTGACTTTAATAACATAAACTTCAAAGATATGTTAGTAAATGACACTTATAAATAGGCTTTTCTGCACAAGCTATGGATAAAACATTGCTTTGTATTTCATTTGTGTTTCATGCTCAGTTTTTGGACAAGAAATGCAACGTTCACAATTTGTGACCAATTCACCAGTCAGTCTTCCTATTATCATCTTAAGTTTGGCTCTCTCTCAGGCTGAAAAAAAAAAAACCCACAGCCATATAGTAATGTTGCGTTTTCTCTTAAACAGCTCTGCGCTTCCTCTGACTTATTTCTAAACACGTCGCTGATTCTGGAAATGGCTGACGTTGTTGTCAGCTGGACTGCAGCATTATGGTCTATTCACTGATTAGAGGGGGGGAAAAAGCATTTTTGTCATGAACATTGTAAGTTTTACAACGTTCATGACAGTGATATCTATGATGTCAGCAGATGAATGCAACATAATCCCTTATTGTTATGTATGCGCTGACCCATGAAGCCTCATCTGCCTTCATGATGTCTCCCTCTGATTTTTGACAGGGCTCGAGTGGATTCCCCGGCTTCCCTGGAGCAAACGGCGAGAAAGGAGCACGGGTAAGGGGAAACACACACTCATAACACCGGAGACATTAAAAAAAATCCCACTTATAATACGTAGCTTAAAATTTGTTCCGCCATGAAGGGATTTTTGTCAAATAAAGCTACGGCAAACGCCATGTTGGGCGAGAGAACGACTGATTTGGAAACAGTTTTGGAGCCTCGAGGCTGAGCTTGTTCTCACGACTTATTTCAGATCAAATTCAGAAACCAGGATTTAATTTGAACTTTTAAGAGAGCACTGAACTTTTTAATGTTGCTTTTGAGTTGTAACCCAGGGTTGAAGGTTTAGCAGAGCTTATTTCCTGTTATCAATTACTACAAACTGTGAAGACTGAGAAATGGTGCAAAGTGATTTATTAAGGAGTTTCTATAGACTTTTATCAAGCAGATACATTATTGCAGTGGTTCCCAAAGATTTTCTTTGGATTACAATAAAATAAAATAAAAAATCAATTGGGCTCACGCATTGTTCAACCAGACATAAACCTATACACACATTTTGTTTTCAAATTCCACTGAAGTTTATTTCATACTTCAGGTTGCAACAAAACAATAAACAAACCATCTTTACAGTGAAACACTTTTGTGTAACTGTTTTGTTTTTTTTCCATTCATCCTCTGCACTCCACACTTTGGGAATCACTGCATTATAGCAACATTGTAGGACTGCTGTGTGCTTTCTGCGTGTTGTCGTTACACTAATGGTGTAACCGAACAGCTTGAGTTTGGTTACATCATTGTCGATTGTGTTAGCGTTCAGCAACGGTTGCATCAAAAAGACCCAAGAAATATAGCAGGTAAAAGAAATGTTTCATCACCAAAAAACAATCTTTATGGTGGGAGGTTCAGCTGCAGTGAAGATGGCGCTAATAATGTTTAGAATCGAGACAATTTCTTACTGAGCTGTGTTGCCACCAGTGCAGAGCTTGCTCGGATACTTGGACAAAACTCTTGTAAGAAGAACCGCTGCTAATAATAAAAAAAGAAAAGAAAAAAAAAACATTTCAGTTAGAAAAAACACATCAATATCAGCTGCAAATCTACCAGAAATATCAACATGGACCTCCGAAGATTGATGCAAGAAGGATTTCCGTGTTGAAATTTGTCTTTTAATTGGCTGGAAACATCTAGAAAAGAATGTCTGGAGAGGGAAGCGCGAGCCGTACCACTAACACTGTGCCAGACCAGATACAGTTTACATGTGGATTTGTTAGTACTACTTCTGCTGACCATCAATGTGCATCTTGGTGGAGATCCATGTCGTCCGACATTCGTGATAAAATGGTTGAAAAATCAAAACGCTGAAGTGTTTATGGAAATGGCTTAGATTTCAAACCAAGTGCAAACCTCTTGGTCAAATTAAGGCTTGTTGATAAGCAGATGGCAAAAAAAAAAACGAAAAAAAAAAAACGAACTATGAGCAGAAATGAGAGAACAATGGATGGGATTTAGCTCGAAAGCAGCATACTGCTTGGAGATGTTAACGCTCCAAATGCACACTCTGACTTAAATTTTGATAAGTTTGGTTCTAGTAATGGTAAAATATTTGAGTTTATAGTCAAAACCTTGGGGACTGACTCCATATAAACAAATCACCCTGCAGCCTGGCCACAGATAATTACTTTTGCATATATTACAAAACAACAGAGGAAGCATTATCAGCTTACTTTTATTCTAAAGTTAGGTGTATGACTTGTGTTGCTTATTTTTCTGATGAGTAGCAGCTTATAGTCAAAGTAGATGAGGTAGGATTTAGCTGTAAGCCTGACCCCCTCCTCTCCAGATCTGAACAGCACACTGAATGCATTATTTTTCAAAACTCTGACGGCATTGTGTGTCGTTTTGGCATTGATGTAAAATTGACTTGGCGTGCAAAAACAGGAAAACAAGCAGAATAGAATGATTTTATCTTTTTTTTTCTTTCACCGTCTGTAAACAGCTCCACCCACACACCGCTTCCCTGCAACGTGAGCCACCTTGTTGTTGGCATTTTTAACAGCATACTGATTAAACAAAGAAAAAAAATTCCACTTCTTCCCCCTTTGGCGCAAAAGTTTTTTGAATGCCCTGAAAATGACCGACTTCTGTTTAATGTCTATGTTAAGAAATAAAACCAGGCATTTGCTTTAGACAGTGGTGCAAATCCTCAAGGTTTTCTCTGCAGCATCGTAATGATATTGATCCTTGTCTAGGAAATATCAGGAAAAAGCGTGGAACAAAGACTAACCTTATAAAACTGACCTGTTTTCTTTTGGCTATCCTACAGGGCATTGCTGGGAAATCTGGGCCGAGAGGACAAAGAGGTCCAACGGTATGTCCTCCTCCCTCGATGATTTATTTATTGACCGATTACATACCATCAAACAATCTGAAAACAGCAAAGACATCGTATTAATGAGCAGGTTCTCTCCCTCTTCCTCTCTATAGGGGCCTCGTGGGGCTCGAGGAGCCAGAGGTCCAACAGGCAAACCCGGTCCCAAGGTAAACCTGTCGCAACAAAACGCCACTGTTTCACCGAGTCCAAAGTTCCTGTGAAGTCTTTTATCCTTCAGTTAAAGTCAGTCTGAAATAAGTTCATTCTCTAGCTAAATATTGACCAACAGTGATGCTGTGCTGTGTGTTTCAGGGCACAGCAGGAAACGACGGCCCCCATGGCCCACCTGGTGAGCGAGTAAGTCCTCCACACCTGTGTTTCATGTCTGTGCAATCCACGATGCAAAAACAAATGTAGTATGTCTCAGTGTGCAATAATACACACTTACTACAAAATCAATCAATCAGCCAATTGAAAACTAGGTGAGCAGAGAGCTTCTCCATACGGAGACGCCTGAGCGCAGGTCTGATGCACCATATGCTTCCTGCTACAGGCACGCTTCCCTCTGTTTGTTCTCGTCATTTGGTCTGATGTTAGTGCTAACCGGATGACTTTCGCCAGCACTCAGAATGTGACATTTGCAGGCTGCTGAGCCGGAGCTCCTGGCTGCCATCTGTCTGCCTGCCTTAACATCTCCGTGAAGCTGCCGGTCATGAGGCGCGTCAACATCCATGACTTCTTCCCAGAACTTTCTTAAACCTTTTGAACTTTGTCCAACCCCATTTTGAAGCCCCCTTTTAATTATGCTGAAAAAAGCAAACAGAGTTTTCAAAACTAAAAGGACCATCTTGATATCCACCCAGGGATGGATTGTTTTCTGGTTGAGTGGGGGTGGAGGGGAACTGTATTTTTAAGTTCCAATCAATACTGCTTAAGAGTAAAATGAATTGATTTTCCTGAAAGTTCTTTATTTTAAAACGTTTCATAAAAGTGAATCTGAATATGTTGCGCACCACAGTGAACCGTGTGTAGCACATTTATTTTTTCCCTTTGGTATTTCTCACGGATATTAAAAAGAGCTTTATTAAAAATAATAAAGAATTTGATTAAATCAATTAAATTGATCCCTGAGGTCAGGTCTTTATGTTCTATACTTTCTACATCAATGTTTTTGTTTCCTGACATTTCCTTTAATCCAAATCTCAATAGTTATATTCCCAGTGTTGTAATAAAGTGTATTTCTCCAAGAAATGAAAACACTCCCAGTCTTCAGCCCTGGGTGACCCAACTCAGCAGGAAAGTTAAAGTTGCTGCACAGTAAAAGTCTCCCAGCAGTGGTGCGCTGTATTTAATAACTTTCAGAGAATTTCTCTCTTTTTTTTTCTTTCTTGAATTTCCAGCGTTGTTCTGGCGCACTTTGATTTCGCTCCGTAACAGAGAAACTGTGACATTCCGACGTGAATCCGGAGACAAAAGCCACAGAGGAGCAGCTTTGGCCGATAAATCAGCTTGCAGCGCGTGCTTCATTTGTATCCGCGTTTGCATTTTTTTCTTGGTGGACACGGAGAGAAGGAGTCATTCTTAAAAACTCCAGGATGAATTCAAAGTCACGCAGGCCAGAGGCTAAAATGCTGACGGTCTGCCCAACTTTGTAAAAGCGCCTTAGTTTATAATAGTCAAATTGGTGGCTATTGTTGTTGGTGAGCAGAGTTCAGGATGATCTCCTAGTACTTCGCCTCAAGTCTTGTGATACCTCTTTGTACAGTAAAATGTAATCTTTTATTAACTCTTGTTTAAAGTTTGCTTATAAACCAACAAATCTTCAATATTCAAAACTTAGTTTAAAAAAACCCCAACAAAAACAAACATTTTCTTCTATTAATTTAAAAGAAAGATGTTTTTTTTTTCCCCTGAAGCTTTTTAAAACTTCCCAAAGAGGGCAGCTTGATGTGACACTTCTGGTGATTCCGATTCGCAGATGCTGACAGGCAGTCGTCAACCTTTTCAGCCCTGAGATTCTCTGTGGGCGGAGGGCAAGTCCGAGATTCAGTGATGTGACATTTCACTTGGCTAAGCCGGAAGGTCATAAACCCCTCAGTCCTCACCGTTTACACCCTCTTGACTTGAATCTGGGAGGTTTGCTTCAACGTCTTTTGTATGCACAACCACAGAACAAGTGGATGAAAATGAAGCCCACGGCAAAGACGATATTTAGCCGTGGTATCAGGAGTAATGTTTCCATTTCGCAAAAATCTGCGTCTGTTTTGTTTGACTCGAGCGTTCTGTAAAGTCTCTGTTCTTTTTTGAAATGTCGGATTATTTTTTACATAGAGAAACAAAAATATGTTGCAAATATTGCAGCAATTTATCTTGGATTTTCTTTTAGTATTAGGCTTTCTAGAGATCCAGAAAACGGCTTGCTTGATGTTTTCCGCATTTTGTCACATTACAACTTTAAACTTTCTTTGATCATACTCAACATGGAAAAACTAAGTCATTATCTTACTTACAATTTAAAAATAACTGATTTTATTTAATGGTATCAGGGTAGAGGGGACAATTCACAGTTATGCACTATTCTGGGTTGGTCCATCATGTAAAATATTGTCGAAGTTTGAGGTTACAACATGTCAAGATGTGAAGAAAAGTAACGGATACGCTGCATTTGTGAAACACTGAAGGTTAACATGGAGTCTTTTTGTTATTAGCAAGAATTATGTGGTCTAGGTTGGGGTTATAAAATATATTTTTATGTCAGGGCTTGATGAGAGAGAAAATGAGACAAATTTATTTTTAAAAGCTTTATTACAATCTGGTTTTATATATATTTTTGAGTGTACAAAGCCAGAAAATGTCAGACTACGGTATGCAAGGTAACTTGTAGTTGCTGCTCATATGTCGTATGAAAGAAAGCAGAAGAGAAAATGTATTTTATCACTCAGAAAAACACCAAATGAGATTCCACTATAGCACAGATCAGTGAGAAATTATTTTTGTCAATTAATTGTGCAGATTTTATTTGCTTTACAGAATGTCTGGTTGAATTAGTAATAATCCACTCAGCAGTTTTAAATACCATATTAAATGTTTCAGCATATTAAATACCGTGTAGTTTCTGCAGTTTAATCGGATTTCTGCTTGCTGGTTGCAGGGACCTCAAGGACCTCAGGGGCCAGTGGGCTTCCCTGGACCAAAGGGCCCCCCTGTGAGTAGCACTTCGGTTTCACACGAGGACCTCCGACAGGAACTCTCGATTAGCTTCTCTCCCCGATTTCCAAACACACATTAGGGTTGATTCAGACAGAGAACTACATGGAGAACCTGTGCACTGCAGTATTCATGAATGTTCTCTCACATTTCAGTTCAGACAGCAAACAAGTGGTAATTTATTTTTATTTATTTATTTTCTTTTACAATTATAGAACTTGGGAAAGTCAAGGCATTTTTGTTTTTCTTAATAATAAATATAAACCGCAAACAGATAGTTAAAAGCTATGAGCAAAGAGGCTTTTGTACTACCAGCATTGATTTGTAAATAATCTGATGTTCAATAATGTCGTTATCAGTGTGTGATACTTTTTTTTTTCTCCAACAGGGACCACCTGGAAAGGACGGGCTTCCCGGACACCCTGGACAGCGTGGAGAGACGGTGAGGGCACCAGAATGGGACTCTTTCAATCCCTCAATCCAAAATATGAATAATCTCATTATTGGTGAATAATGCGTTTATTTAGCAAAGATTCACTCTCCTTTTCACACAGCTAAACTGCAGAATAAATCTGGTTCAGTATATGATAGAGCTTATTGTTGAAATATTGGTTTACTATTATTATCATCAAAAGAGGCTCTATAAATGTGGACTCTGCATTTATTGGCACCAGGGTAAAATAAATTATAGAAATGTGTTCTTTATTGCAGCAGCATAAGTTTCTGACAAAATTTGAATTGATGTTGTTTTTGTTTTAAGTTGAAGAAAAAGAATACTGAGAAAATATCAATTTGAATAAAATCGTCATTAATAATTAATATGAAGTAAGTGCAGGTGAAATTTAAATGTAAGAGTTGTATCCTTCTCCTGACTTGTACCTTTGTACCCTACCATTATTTCTGATGTTGTAATCTCTCTGGAAAACTGTGTTTTCCAGAGAGCAAATGTCAGGAATATCACAAAAAAATAAGAAAACTATAACTCATCAAATTCACTATAAATGATGGCAGCTGTGTACGGAAGAAAACTAAATGCTGGAATCGAATCAAAAGGTGATTCAACACAGGAAAGGTGGACACACTTACGAGATGTGACACTTTTTCACAAAGTTTGACATTTTTCTATCCATAAAATGTTTTGCGTTTGACTAAAACAGACTCTGAACATGCGGATCATGGCCTTGTTAGTTTACGTTCAAAAAGGGGCATTTTCACAGCACTGTGAAACATTTGACTTTATGTATTTATTAATCTTGTAGGTCTTAGTAGATTTGCTGTTTGCTGGTTCTGTAAGCTGAAATGCAACAGAGGCACATTTCTCTGAGCCGCTCTTCAAAACGGCAAAGATGAGAGAACATGAAGGTCAACATGAAGGTTTACTGGTGACAAAAAATGTATATATATATGTGTGTGTGTGTGTGTGTGTGTGTGTGTGTGTGTGTGTGTGTGTGTGTGTGTGTGTGTGTGTGTGTGTGTGTGTGTGTGTGTGTGTATGTTGATGCTCCCATCCTTAAGATAAAAGTAACCTGAAAACTGCTGCACTGTTTAACATGGATTCGTTGCAGCTTCCTCCAGCAGTCCCTGTTCACCCCTGATGACTAATATCTTTACTAAATCTCAAGTAAAGCTGCACAGCCACATCAGGAATGTCCCAAGGACTACTGTATAAGAATTACCCCACTGGAAAGAAGGAAGAAAAACTGATTCGATCCCATCTTGCAATTGCTGCATTCCCCCTGCTCTCATCTTCGATCCCCGCACTTAGTATGCGTCAGTGAACCTTTGCTCGACGACTCTCTGAGGACGATAAATTTCACCGCGGGCCTGACGGATCGTCAACCCCGTTATTAGAGCTTCCGCTTCCACCCGTCCCCTTCCCTGTAGATAACGTGGCACGCAACAAGCGAGCTCTTCCCTCCGCCTGCCGCGCCTCGAGCCGTAACGATTCACTCCTAAGCGGCGTTAAGGGCTGCAGATTTACGTCCTGGTGAACAGGCAGCACGAGCATCCAATATGAAAATGGATCACGGCAATAAAGACGCTCGCAGCAAAACAATCCGGATTTCAGGAAGTGCAAATCAAGCGGAGATGCCCATGTCTCCTCTGCGACGCCGTCGGCCTGAAGGTGCTTCATTGAATAATACATCACCCTGAATGACAAAGTATTGTGATCAATAAGCCCGGGGATACACCGCGTGTCAGCTGGGATTGGCTTCCCGAACGCCTGGATCTAAATCTTTCTCTGGTTTTAGGATGATAAGTTTCAAATCAACTTATCCTCTGGAAATTGCTTATGGATTTGAGAACTGAGGGATTGGGCGATCGCATCAAGCTGGAAAAGTCAGGTGAAAGTCAAAATGAAGGAGTCGCCGTGAGCTCAAAGCGGTTAGTGCAGTTAAACGACTTCGCTTTCGCCTCGTCATTCTCAGAGATTCAGAGCAAAGCGGATCTTTAAAGTGTTGACTGGTGGCATCCTGTTTGCTAAGGCCGTGCATGTGAGGACTGCAGTGCTTATCGTCGACAAAAAAACAATTTTCCCAATCGCGGCGTTTTCGTTACAAAAGAAACGCAATTAGAATCACACGTGAAAACGTTTGTCCGCACAATAAGACAATGAAAATCGTGCCAAGCCATCATCCTCTAACTACGTCCTATGGTCGTCTGTTAAATGCATCACATTTAACATTTTTCAAGTAAAAATCTGAAAAGCACAGCACGGGTTTGTGTTCAGCTCCTCTGACGCCATGAAATGAAATCCTCAGGAAGTCACCTAATTAGGAAGTAGAGGGTTTCTTCTTTGTAGAGCACCTGAGATGCGACTCGAGGGACGTAAAGGAGATCAGACCTTTGCTTTGATTCTGGGATCAATTAGGAACGCCAGACTACACGCCGCTCTCGTGGGGCCGCTGCTCCTGAAAACCCTTGGATTTGAAAGGTTTTCTGTAGACGCGCTACATAATCATCACCTGAGCAGAGTTTTTATTGTTCTAGCACTTTCCTTACAGCTTAAAATCTCCCGAGGTTTCAACAAGAGACGTCAGAATACTATGGAAAGAAAGTAAAGCAAGCAAAAGGAGTTCATTTTTGGAAAAATGTACCTCGCAGAAGGTTGTTTAACAAAGTGCATTTTCAAGAGACCCGAGTTAACTGTGTGGTTATGGCATTATAATGTGAACCCGAAAGAGTAAAATTGCCCATTTCTGCCCAATTACTAGGCATGTTGTGCAATTTAGAACCGAACACTAATGCGTTTCGCTACTGAGAGGCACTTTTGTCTTTTTCTATGTCAAGTGTAATTTCCTTCTCTTTTATCACAATTTTACCTTCAGTCTGAACTCCATAAGCTGCCACATTTTTTAATGTCTAGCGTCCAACAACCCGGAGAGAAAAACCCTGAAAAATCTTGAATATTGAACTGATTTCAGAGTTTTTGTCAAAACAGTTAAGATTCTTATGAAGGGGAAGAAAACGAGCATCTCCTCCGTAGAGATCAATATAATGTATCTAACACTGAAACATAAACATGCTCTGTCATCAGTTTTGCTTTTTGTTTTGAACGCATCATATCAAATCCTACACAAGAAAATCTACATTCAGAACACCTGATGTCCGTTTTAACATATTTAATCCTGGTCTAATTCAATGTATTTACTTGATCTAACTCATATGTATTGGCTTTTAGGTCAATACTCTTTTCCAACACGCACAGTGTTAATAACATTTCATCTCTTGTTATTAAATAATAAATGTTTCAAAACGAGTTAGCTGAATTATAAACTGTTCACTGTTGAGTTGTTTTCAAAAATGAAGAAGCTAATATTAAATATATGACAAATATACATTGTATTAAACCAACATCCGTTTTGATTTCAGGGTTTCCAAGGAAAAACTGGCCCCCCGGGACCAGGAGGTGTTGTTGGGCCTCAGGTAAGACAGATTTCCAAGCCATAGATTTATTGTTTGTTATAAATCATTTACAGCCGTTTTATATGACGAACTGTTGTACTCCTAAAGGCGTTTAGCTGTAAAGGAATAAAAGAAGAAAGTGCAGCATTGGCTCAAAGAAAACTTAAATACCGTTGTGATAATTGAAGCATATTTTCTTTCGCGTGACTGAAAGTTTGTCCACAAACGGACAACCATTCATGAATGTTAAAGTGCAATCGATAACTTTACCAAGGAGATATTTTCATTCCTCAAAAAGAAAAGAAATATATTTTTTTTTGCATGAACACCTGAAAATGTCATTCAGAAAAATGCGCAGATGCTCTTCCCCAAATTTTTTTGTGATGCAAAATGCATCATCCATCGGAGCAGGAATCTGATGATGAAAGTCCCGTATCACTGATAGGAATATTGTGTTGATCTAAAGGTAATGATATGAACATGTGATCATCTAAGGGACCCACAGGAGAGACCGGTCCTGTTGGTGAGCGCGGACATCCTGGACCCCCAGGCCCACCTGGAGAGCAGGGTCTTCCGGGTGCTGCTGGCAAGGAGGGAGCCAAGGTATGGTTGTAGCATAAAAATATACATATGCAAACAATAAATAGGAAAGCAATGTAAGGGAGATGCTTAAACATATGGAAACTCATACTAGATGATGCCATAAGGATGTTTCATAGGAGATCGGACAAATAAAACAAAAACTGTTCAGTGTATGACTGAGTTTAGATGTTATGAAGACATCCAAAGAGTTATGACCTCTTGAGGTCATGAACACTCAAGGGACAACTGGATGTTCTGGAGCATTGTCTCTAGAAAAAAGCAAAAATCAAATGCAAGATTCTCACTTTTCCTTTCTGCTTAAGCAGCTCAGATCTTTTCATTCCCTCTCTGTCATTCCCAGTCTGGTGATTTAGAAGAGCCCATTAGCAACGGAGGTCACCTTTTTAGTAGACCTGAGACCAGCCCCTCATTCTCAGGAGCCTCCAGCGTGGCCCCGCCCCTACGCCTCTCTCTGAGCTTCTCTTTTTAGTTTTATTTTCTTCCCATCTCCTCTGAACAGACAGTTTAATCAAGTCTGTCGGCTCAATCCAAACCCCGAGCGGCCCGCTTCTCTCCCACCTCTCTCAGACCCGAGCATCAGTATGCCAGAGTCACTTCGGCGAAGCCTTGGCAGCAGAGACCGAATCGTCTAAAACCTCTCAGGCCCTCTCGTCTGGGCTTCGCAGTGGGCAGATAAAGTCAAAACACACACAGAGAAAACGGCAAGCGGTTGAAGTTTTTTTCCCCACTTCATTCAAACATCATTGCTTTTGAAAAGCAGCAGTTTGTTGGCACTTTTTTTTCCCCCCTCTTTGGAGCAAAATCAAAAAGAGCTATTAAAATAAAATCTTTAAATGAGAACGTTTGAACAGTGGAGACAGAAACGGTTTCCTTCAGGTAACGTATAAATATATTTATACTTTCTTGCGTTAATGAGTTTTCATTTCAGTCCAAATCTTGTTCTCTATGTGTTCATTGAGCCAATGTTCAGACCGTGGCTGTTTGTGTGAAAACACTGATAGATTTGGTGATGTCCCTTCATTGACTGAGCTGCAGCAGCATTGATGAATAGAAAACAATACATGCTTCAGGTAAATGCCACTAATGGGCCATTAGGGTTTGCTTGGTGCTTTTGAGACACATACACTGCTGTTCCAGCAGGAAAGTACAAAGCCATTAGTTGATGCACAGTCAGTATTTAGACATGGAGGACATAAAAAAGAGTCTTTGAGGACTTGATGATTTTTGCGAGTCCTATGTGGGCAGAATTGAGATCAAACGCACCAGGCGCAAAGTAAACAGAGATAATACAGACAGTAATTCACTACCGGAAACAAAAGAGTTACATTCAACCTCCGCAGAGTCACATCGGGTAAATTTGAAAATGCGATGAGGCTCGTTTTTAGATTAAAATGAGCTTTTGAAAATGACCAGATGAAATTATGCTGTTACTTTTATGAACACCAAATGCAAACCTTCTGGTTGGGGAGCTTTCCATCGGATACTTTATAATGGTAATAAATGTAGCTCATTTAATCTTTTCTGTTGTTTTTCTGATTTTGTTGCGAATGAAAGCGCTATGTTTCATGTGACAACTTCTTTTATTCTCTCCAACTGTAGCTTGTGTGGTTTATCTGAAATAATCGGTAAGAGTGATTCTTCATTCAGCTGAAAACGTCCTTCTGACATTATTTCTTATAGTTAAATGTTCGTTTTGAAGTTTGATTAAGCAACGTAATAAAATTAAAATACAAGAATAATTATGACCTGATATTTAAAAAAAATCAAAGCAAATTATTCCCATTGTTGAACCTGCCAACATGTATTTAGTGTAATTTGCTTTGTGAATCTAGTTGTCATACATATGCAATAAACATTTAAACTTTGATATTAATAATATATGATTCCTTTTCTCTTGTTAAGACATTATAAAATACAATTTGTTCATCCGGTTATTTTTTAAATATTTCAGGTTATTTTCTGACACTTTGTGAACAATAATAATAATCATAACAAAAACAACAAAATACAATTTCTGTGTATGCAGGGTGATCCTGGACCGCAAGGCTCCCCTGGTAAAGACGGTCCGCCGGGCCTTCGTGGCTTCCCCGGAGAGAGAGGTCTACCCGGTGCCACGGTAAGAACTCACCCGCAGATATCCGTCACAGTTTTTCTCCACATGCGCTTGCTGGTAGAAAGCGACAGACCACAGCTACATAACAAATGAACCCGCACCTATCTGGAGCTGTTCACTTCATTAGAGGCAGCAGCCCTGGAATGCACTTGCAGCAATCAATCTGGTGGGAGGAAATCCGAAGTGACACCTTACAAATGAACAGGCACTGCTCCCGCACTGCTCCACCACCACAGAATCCATGGCTTGGACCGCTGCAGTAGATAATGGGCCTCCTTTTATATATTTTTTTTTTATTATTTTTTTTTTTTAGAGAATTTGGGATTTGTTAGGGACTTATTGAAAGTCTTGTCCCCAGTTTAACTCAAGGACGTCTATTGTTTCATCATTTGTCAGTGCCAGCGCTTTTGGAAGGCGCGGCATTTTGTTGCCGCATGCATTATTTAGCAAATAAATTATTAAGTCAAAAATGTTGGCAATTAGACTGGAGCGGCTCGGGACGGATACACAGCCGGGGAAACAAAGTGTTTCCTCAAGGTCAGCCGAACTCAGCAGGACATGCGGCCCGCCTGATTGTTCCCTGCCGCCGTAATTTAGCCCAGCATGCAGCCACAGGCTGCAGAAACTCATTACCCATACTGCCTTGTGCTGCTCTGGAGCTCACTGGGGAGTTGCACACGCATACAAACACTCGTGCATGCATGCAAGCCCATGTTGGACGCTGATGGATATGTAATAAAGCATTCTCCATGCAATGTTTGTTTGTTTTTTTTTTTTGCCACACAGCCACAGAGGCAGGAATGTGGATTTGAATTGTTTACACGCTCTCGCATACAGTGCGGCTGTTAAACATTCGGATGACTTCTGAATTTTTGCCACCAATTGCTACAAATTCTGCATCCAGAGAGCAGAGGCGGGAAGAGTACCCAAAAAATTGTACTCAAGTGAGAGCAGCAGGACTTCGACATATTTTTTACTCAATTAAAAAGTTGAAATTGCTCATGCAACAGTAAAAAGGGTATTTGGTACAAAAGCTAATCGAGTACTGAGTCAGTGATCACATTGTCAATCGTTTAATGTTTTAAAATGACATCATCAGATGGACCAAAATGTAATAAATCACTGCTATTCCCCATTTCCATTGCCACCCTGGGCAACCGCCCATTTAGCCGTTTCCCAGCTTCGTGATATTTTGAAGAAAGTAATGAGAAAGAGCCCCAATAATTGCCCCATGTAACATTCCTCCATCTTTGTTTTAGGAGGAGGAAGTCCCCTCTCCCTATTTTTAAGTTTTCAATCAATTAATCAAATTTTGTTTGTGTAGCACTTTTTAGCAGCAGTGCTTTACGCTGCTGCTGAAATGTGTTACACAAACACAAAGTCATGCAAAAACATGACTTTTTTCATTAATACATGTTAAAAAAAAACTGACCCAAACCATATTTGTTAAAGCTGAAGTAATTTTTCTGATTTTTAGTCGGATTCACTTAAGTGTTAATACACCAACCTATTTCAAACGTGCTCTTTATACGAAGCTCTTCAAGCCAACTGATGATGATTTGCAACCTCCTTACTACTTTTTTTGGACTTTCTATTCCAGCCAGTGTTTCTGCCAGAATGAAAATGTCAAACCTCATTCACGGCGTCGAACGTGGAGGGTGAAAAGCTCTGAATTTTCTTCACTGCTCATTTCTTGCCGTTTTGGGATTAAATGACAAACCGGCAGCCAGAGGCAGACAGTTGGAGTTCGACTGGCATTTAATGAAACCTGTGTTGAGATCCAGCATGGAGATTGTAGCGTTATTACTGGCAGATGTGGAGATTGTGATGGTCAGTATTGTTTCTCTCTTCATTTCAGGGCCCATCTGGTCTGAAGGGTGGAGAGGGACCCCAGGGTCCACCGGGTCCTGTTGTAAGTACTCTGGTTTTTACTCCCTGAATTAACTCATTAACCCGCGTTAAAAGCTCCACTAAGGTTTACAAGTAAAGGTTGCTTAGAAGTGGAAGCCCAGTAGCAAAAACATCGGAGTCGGGGATGTGCAGTCGTGCCACAGTGGCTGCTTTGGCAGGTTCTTCTTTAGGGCACAGAAGTTCGACAACAAAGGTTTTAACTTCCTCCTTCTCTCTCTTCTTTTTGCTGCTGTTCTGCCTCCGTGACGCCTCCTTCTCTGCTAATCTGAGGTTTGTTTGAGGTATTATTTGAGCTTTGGCAATGTTAATCAGTTGCTCGCGGTTGTATACCGCCTCGTTGATATGGCTGCGTGTCATAATAGATGTCCATAAGTAAAAAATTGTGACAGCAATAATAATTGTCCATAAAAGAAAAGCAGTGCCTCTGTAATAAAGTAACAGTTTATTACAAAGTAATAGCTCAGTAAATATTGCGACTAAGTTGTAAAATGGTGAAAAAGTACAAGGGCTACAAATAAATACTCTTGCAAGATACTGGATGTATTTGTCAAAAACAAAGCTCACTGTTTCAGCTAACTACAGCGTTAGAAATCTTAAATTTCAGTCAGTGATTGTATGATAAATATTAGGGGATATCAAATAAACTAAATTAATGCTGTTGTTTGGGGGTCAACCATATAGATGGGATGCAGTCAGACTCACTAATCCACATCTAGTGTGTCTTTCCCTGCACAAGCGGCATTGTGTTCTGTAAAGACTATTTGTTCTCTTGCCTCTTGGCAGACGACGAGAGAAGCAAACAAATGCACTCTCAATAAAACCACACAGCCATGAAGCATCCATATGCTGAGTCAAAATATTGAGTAACCCTGGGAGTTCCTCCTACGCATCCCGGATCAATCCCAGAGGTTTCAGCTGGGGAACGTATACACACTCCTTTCTCTTCTCCTTTTCAGAGGACCATACTTATTATTTAAGTAGTGCTTTTGATAACTTCAAGCTCTTCTTCCAGTTCACATTCGACAGCACTTTGTAAAAAGACAAAGCGAACTGAGATAATGGCACAGCGAAGCTGCGACTGCACAGAAACCCTGTTGCTTTCTCCCTTGAAGTAAAATTGCTCAAGTTATTGAAAGGTTAACATACATGTCCACATTGAATTCAAACAGCCTGATTGGGCTTTTAATAAATCCACCATACATACAGCAGAGAGAAAACTAAACGGGAATGCATGACATAAAGCTGTACCGATCTATTTATTCTAGTCTAAGTAGAGGAGTATATGGCTTACACTATGGAAGAAAGAAAGAAAATACAGAGCAGGAGTTATCTCAACTGTAACATGTGCAGCTCACTGCATGCGAACTCCAGACGATTTGGACTTGACTCACCGTGCGGTTTCAACAAGCGACAAAATGGAGCTAGAAGATGATAGACGGAAGCTAAAAATGGAAAAAGTTATTCTAATAAGCCGACTCGGATGGATGGATGGATGACATCTTGAAATGTTTGTTTCCTTTTTCTCAAATCTTTTAAGCTGATTGCATCATTTTTTTCTGTTCACATGTTTCAAAGAAAACTGTGTAACAGCACATCAAGAAGCTAATGATAAATAGGTACAAAGTCAGACCTATTACAATGAGGAAAATGTTTGCTTCTGTGGCCCTGTCTGAATAGGAACAAAAGGTGCATGGAGCCAATTAGACGGTGTATTTACCTATGTGTTTTATGGACAAAGGTAAACACTGACTTCCTGTAGCTCCAGTAAATACAACAGTGTGTTTATGTTGAAAAGAAAAAGGTATTTTCAGTAGCAGACACGAGTCCCTCAGAGCGAGCAGAAGCACCGAGGCGTCAGCCCCCGGACAGCAGATAATGCCAACTGCATTATAAAAGAGCAGCGCCGCTTCATTAGAACTTAAAAGGCACCTGTTATTGTGTGTTGCCTCTGCTGTTTTCTCACTTTCCTTTAAAGGGTTTGTTTATATGTGCATTGATCCATTAGTGGTAGAACTCAGCAGGGTCTGCCAGGATCGTAATGGCAGAAGCTGTTGTTCAGTAAAATCAGGGATTTATTTACAGAGTGGTTTGGGTTTTTTTTCTATGCTTGAAGGGTTCTCCTGGTGAAAGAGGTAATGCTGGTCCAGCCGGCCCAATTGGCTTATCTGGTAGACCTGGTCCTCAGGGTCCTCCAGGTCCTGCTGGAGAGAAAGGTGCTCCTGTGAGTATTTTGTTCCTAAACAGAATTTCACCCATTCATGTAAGGATAACTTTTAAAGTAAAACATCTCTGTGCTTCTAGGGTGAGAAAGGGCCGCAGGGCCCAGCCGGTCGTGACGGGGTTCAGGGTCCTGTCGGACTTCCTGGCCCCGCTGGACCTCAAGGCCCACCCGGAGAGGACGGTGACAAGGTCCGTCCGCCGCCCTGACCTCGTCAGCTCCATGTTTAACACTTTGGTCTAATCAGACAAAGTAAACATAAAACTCAGCTGAGGTCTGGTTCTTACGCCAAGATTCTGAAGATGGTGACCGATTTTCAAAATTTGAGAGAGCACTCACCTCATGTGAACTGACATTCAGACTTGACAGGTGTGCCCCAAGACTCGGCCATTTTTGTTCAGAGTGAACAAACATGGCCGACCGGGAAGAAACAACGGTGATAGTTTCTGGACTATATTTACCAGAGAAAAACAATACAAAGTCTCTAACGTCCACCGGACTTTCTGGTCAGCCATCAGCAGTTGTTTTGTGTTTTATGGGTTCCCCTCTGTTTCCCTCTCTTTCTGATTGGCTCCACGTCACATTTGACGTGCTACATTCTCCTTTATCCAATCCAATATATTGAATATCCAGGATTTTAGATCGTAGTGTTTTCCGAGCGAAGCAGATGACTCTTAGCACACCAAACACGGCAGGAATATCTCTTAAGGTTATCATAAGAGCTTTCCCAATAATCAGGGCTTTAAGATTGTCAGATGGGGAAAATCTGGACAAAAATAAAAACAATTAAATAAATAAAAATTTGCCTCGTGAAGGAGGCAAAACTCAGCTGTAGGAAATGCAGAACTGAAACACCGATTTAATCTCCTGGTGTTCTCCGGAGCTGCCAATCAGCCGTCACTTGAGAGGCTACCTGCGTTCTAACCTGGACAGGAAATGGACATCTCCATATCTGTTCATCCACATGGAACTTCCAGGATTATCGTCACACATATTGGCTTTTTGTCTGAGCTGCGGGGTTGTCAGTGATTTTGTTGACATTCACAAAAGAAGAAAATTGGATCTGAGACTATGTGTGTCTGTGTGCGTGTGCGTGCATGCGTGTGCGCGTGTGTGTATTTGTCTTTTCTAGGGAGAGGCTGGGGAGCCGGGCCAGAAAGGAAGCAAAGGTGACAAGGGAGAGCAGGTGGGTTATGAAAAGCGCATGAATCTACATCTTGTATTCACATGAAGCTGGCTGTGTGTTTTGATTAGATTACGTTTCACATGACAGGAATAAATCACTATAAGAATTAGCTGTGTTTAACTCAATTTTACGACGTGATGTAAGTGAATCAAATGAATCTATGCAAATTTGTGTAGTAAGAAGCATCAAAAAGAACAAGGCAGCATTTCTCATTGTGCAAAAACAAAAAACCCAAAACGACCCAATTGATAATAGAAAACAGAAATAAGATGTAAATCAGGTTCAATAATGTAAAGCACATCATCCTATTAGCAGCTCAGCATATTTTTAATGAAACCTGCGCCGCTTATGATGCTGCAGGAACTTTTCCTGCTGATGTCAGCAGTTTTAAAAAGTTCAGGTTCGTGTTCCTGTGGTGGTTCTGAAACAGAACGCGGCCTCCTTTGTCTGCCAGCATCTGGGGTGCTGCGTTTTATTATTTCTGTGTTTTACTCCCAACATGTTGTTTACTCTGTTTTCCCAGGGCCCCCCCGGACCGGCTGGTGTTCAAGGTCCCGTCGGAGCCCCAGGTCCTGCTGTAAGTCCATGCAAAATTCAGTACATCTTAACAACATCCAACACATAAACACCGGCTGACACCAAAGGTGTAAAGTAACCTATGATAAAAAGTACAGATGGAACATCATCACATGGTTTACAGCCGTAACGTGTGTGTCGTTTGCCAGGGAGCTGATGGAGAGCCAGGACCCAGAGGTCAGCAGGGCATGTTCGGGCAGAAGGGAGACGAGGGTCCGAGAGGATTCCCTGGACCCCCAGGTCCCATTGGTCTACAGGTTGGTATTATTGCTTACCATCAATACAGAGTAGGCTTTAATCTTTTGACAATTTTTAGATGAATCGATTAACAACTGGATAGCAAAAGTCTCACCAGAGCTGGAAAATCCTTGGGCTTTTGCTGCACCTCCCTATATTCTGGGATAAGAAAAATTCACCGCAATAACTCTGGGTGCACACCCCAGATTTAAACAAAAAACAAAATCACTTCCTTCCTCTTTTATCTCCTCCTCTCACCTGTCAGCCCCAAACTACTATTTTAAAACAAAAACCAGTTTCATACATCAGTCCAGAATATGTAACAGCTGCCCTACAGGGGACAGTGATTAATAATAAATGGCCACAACACGAAGCGTGCAACATTATAGAATGATGGGGAGAAGAAAAGGACAATTGCATCTGGAGCCACAGCTAATGGCTAACGGCCGGCGTGGCACTACATTAGAGGATCTCCCTGGAAGGTCGTCAGCCAGTGAACGACATTAGAGCAACGAACACTCAAAAAGGTTCGACTCTTTAGTTCAACACGCAGGAGTTGCATTCAACAGCAACTCAAACCAAAAAATGCACAACGTAATGTCCGAGAAACAAACGGAAAAAGTCCAGGCTACTCACAAATATGTAGTATTACTTTGTGAAGCTGCTTGTAAAAAGAAGAAAGGGAAAAACACAAGGAAGCACTTTAACGTGCCTTAATGATGTTTTGTTGGCCCAGCATAGAGATCTAATGATGTGTGACCTTTCCCACGGTTGTGTTCAATTTATTTGTAATTATGCATTTATTAGGAATCAACTTCCGAAGCCCCATACTTTGGAAGTTTGCTGCGGGGATCGGGGTCATTGTGTTGATGAAATTACACACGCCGCTGACGGTCGCTCCTCGGCGCTATTCTTTCTCAGCAGGATCGCCTTCGATGGACTTTTAATTGGGAGTAATTCACTTCCCATCACAATCCCATTAATTGCACGGACTGACCTACTCCAGCAGTCTGTTCCTCATCAAGCTCATTTACCGGGATGCATAATTAGCACCACTGCTACCGATTTTAGCATTAGAGAAGACCTTTACACAAATGATGCTTCTCAGCGAGGGGCGGGAGCTGATGTGTGGCAATCTAGGTAGCGGCAATACTCAAAAAAAAAAAAAAAAAAAAACAGACATGAACCTGAACGGAGGCAATTACATGAAGATCTGTGTTGATGCACAAAGGCAATTTTGTTTTGTTTTTCACCGTCCTGAATGAATTCTTTGTCGATGTCCTCCTTTTTTTTTTTTTATACAACCCTACACCTTTTTTTGACAACAAACTGCCTCCAGATCAAGAGTAAACACACACACACATACACAAAAAGAAGCTACCGCAGCAATTTAATCACACCAATTACTGGGAGAAAATGTCAGGGATCAAACACGCGTAAGGTCGCCAACATGCTGCTCATTCGCTGTGCGTGAGTGAGTACAGATTAATTCCTGCGCCTTAGAGTCAAGATATATACGTATATGTGTGCAGAGGTTACTGACAGCAAAAATGAGAACAAACAGCAGCTTGAGTTGAAACAGTAAGAGAGCCGTTTACGGGATGCCTGACGCACCTCATTTTCTAAAAAACATGGTTTAATTGAGTAAACTTAGTCTCAACCCCGCACTGTTGATTACTGTTTTTTTTTTTTTTTTTAAATAATTCAATGAACACGTAATTGAGTGAGGCAGCACCGGCTAAAACATGAATCTTGATTCATTGACGCTGAATAATTTATGCTGCTCTGAGTCGCAGAATCACAGCAACGTATTCCCGTGGTCAAATTAAATCTCAGCAGCGAGCAAGCAGCTTTTGTGAATGCAGTTAATGATGCAAACACATGAAAAGCCCTCTTCACACGACAGCTCATCAGTGTTGCAGTACAGATATCTTCAAAGATGCACTCTTCAGAATTTATTGCAGAATTCCAACGTTTCTTTCAGGGCTGTCGTGCATAAAGGTGAAAAATTTACACATTTTTAGTTTTCCAGTCGAATGGGGTTATTACACTGCAAGAACACGACGTCTTACCAAGTATTTTCATCTAGTTTCTTGTCCAAATATCTTAGTCCACCTAACTCAGGCCTACCTAAGACAGGCCTAACTCAGACGTAACTTCTCCAGCAAGATATACAAGCTTGTTTTAAGGCAATAATTCTTGAATATTGATTAAAAATGCTTGTTCCACTTTCAGATTACTTGACTTATAACAAAACATTTTCCCTTGTTATAAGAGAAGAAAATCTGCCAGTGGAACTAGCACTTTGTCATCAATATTCAAGAATAATTGACCTAAAACAAGATCCTATATCTTGCCGAGAAGTCACTTGTATGTTAGTTTGATCTTAATTCAAATGTACTAAGATATCTGCACATCAAACTGGACCAAAATACTTGATAAGACTGTTTGTTTTTACAGTGTAGGACCAGAGGTGATGTCACACCATGTGTGTGTGAAATATAACAAGGACAAAATGGTTACAGTTGACATTTTAAACTATTAGCATTTTACAGCAGCAGTTAGCACAGCTGGGGTGGTTAGCATAGCGAGTTTAGAATCCTTACTTAACCTGCCCAATTCAGCTGCACGACAAAAAAAGGTCTAAAGCTTAAAATAATACAGGAAAGCAACTTTGCTGTATTCTGTTTAGCCTTCCTGTTATGTGCTAAAAGTCGTGCTCTCTCTCAGTTCAATTCAGCTTATTTATGTAGCGCCACTTCATAAGACGTATTACTTCAGTTCAAGTTATTATTCACGTTGGTTTTTGAAAAGGTTTTCAGTAAACCTGTAGTAGAAAATACAGTTTCCTTTTAAGTAGCTTTTTACATTGTTTTGCTTAATTTAGCTTGAATATTTAAATTTTTTTAGCATGCTAATAAATACGCAGTCATGTTTTATTTTGGTTTTTTATGTCTCCAGGGGCTTCCCGGACCTCCAGGTGAAAAAGGAGAAAACGGCGACGTCGGGCCCATGGTAAGAGAAACTCCCAACTTTTTGCGAGTAAAACTTAAATCTATTACCGCATCATCACATTTTCTCTTCTTTTTTTTTATGTACAGGGTCCTCCTGGTCCCCCTGGTCCCAGAGGCCCTCAGGGTCCCAGTGGAGCCGATGTACGTATCGCTTATGAATGTAGATCAAATTTTCAGACTCTCCTTCCTGAATGATCTGCTGCACAAATTTTGCAACACCACGCACCCCTCAGGGTTTTCCTCAGGTCTTAAAAATCCTTAACATTCAATCATCTTGGCGAAAAAATTTTGAAAAGTCTTCATTTGTACGCCTATTGCTTTCCCCCACCCCATGAACTTTTTAAATCGATGAGCAGTGCTGCTCATCCGTTTCATTTGTTGTTGCCCGAGGAACTCAGGGAGTTACTGTGCTGTGAAAAAAAAGCCCAAAAAACGACAAGAGTCGTGATGCAGAGCAGCAAAACCACCCAAATTTATCATAAAATCCATCAGAGTTTACCTCAAGCCTGCAAAGAGACAGGAGAAAAAAAAGTCCACTCCTCCGTTTAGTCAATAAGTTCTTGTTTTCTGATCCACTGAGGGCTCCTTCGTCAAGGCAGAGTGTATTTTTAATAAGGTTCTAATTGAAACACTGGGATTTTATTAGTCTGCTAAAATAGAGAAGTGTTGCCATGACTCTATACTGTGTGAAAGATGCAAAAGTGTAAAAGCAATGAGCAACCAAGCCAGATGCAAAAAGCATAAATCTGGGCAAACAAAGTTATGTTCACCTTAAATTATCCAGCAAGTTAGTCAAGCAAATTATTATTCATAATTTAACATTTTCTCAAATTTAAATCAGCCTGAAAAATATATATCTTTACAGCAACTTGCAAGATGTCTAATCAGTAGTAGCTTATGTGTCATTATCATAACTCCAAAATGAAGTATGACTGATCTTTTTCTCTGTCTCTTTAGGGTCCTCAAGGTCCTCCGGGTGGCGTGGGCCCCGTAGGATCTGTGGGCGAGAAGGTAAGGCCCCAACAGGACCCCATCAGGGCCCTGCGGGGCGCTTTATCCAGACAACGTCGTCATGTGAAACGGAGATGAAATTCTGCACTCGCTTTAACGCAGGGGTGTCCAAACTTTTTGTAGCATGTTCCATAAATGTCAAGCTGAAAACTCCTCTGGATTTTTCTACATAGTTATGATTTCAAAAACACCCTCATCTATGGTCACGAGCTTTGAGTCCTGACTACCATTAAGAGTGCAGACTTTCACCTCAAACCTGCGTCTGGATTTGAGAGCTCTCCATGCACCAGCTTGAATGTTTACCTGTTGAGACGCTGACATTTATCTAACCACAGGGCGAACAAGGTGAGGCTGGAAACCCGGGACCACCTGGAGAGCCTGGAACTGGGGTAAGAATACGCCGTCTTTCGCTGCGCCCCTCTGCCAACACGAATAAAGTCCACCACCGAATGCCGTCCTGCATTTCATGCAGAGGTTTCGGTTCGTGTCACAGGCGCTCGGCTCCGACCACTCGTCCACCGCGATCGAATATCCTGCATAGCTTGAGGGCGGGCATGAAACAGCAAACGTGCTAAACAGAGGGAGGGCTGCTGTGTGTCGGTCGCAATAGAAGTAATTTTCCTCTCGCATTCAGACGGTTGGTTGGCTCAGCTCAGCGTGGCTCCGGTGCTCTGCATGTCCTGCCAACATCATACTCCCTCCAGACTCTTAAGGCGTAATTATCAGGAAGAGTTGTCTGACGGAGCCGATTTAAAGAACAAGGTTTACAACAACAAAAAAAATCAAATCCCAAACACCAATTTCTGAGTACATACGCCTGTTAGGCTGATTAATGGAAGAAGTTTATTTATTTTGTCCGACTTTTGTTGTTGCTGATGAAAATTTCTGAGAAGTTAGAGAGGGACAACAGCTGATCAAAAAAGTAAAAAAAGAGAACCAGTTATTGTACAGCAGGTCTCAGTAACTGTATTTGTTTCTGTTGGACAAGATCTAAATTTAGCTTTGAACTTTACTTGCAACATAATGACTTTGGGGTGAAAAAAACAAACTCTGTACAACAGAGTTAAAGTTGTTTTGGGTTATTTGTTGTACTTTAGTTTTGTTTTGTTGTCACTTGTTTTCCTACTTCGGCGAGGTTTTTAAAAAAACGTGCTAATCTTGTTGGTGACTCAAAGACTTTAGGATTATATCTGGAAAGCAGAAGATGAGGTTTTATATTTTCACAAATATAATGTTCCATAATGTTCTTTTCTTTTTTAAACGTTTGGAGGTTAAGTTAGTTATTTATCGAGCTCCGTTGTCTCAGAGGCCACAGAAGCATCCAGACCTGTCAATAGTCCAAGATCTCCTTTAGAGCCAATTTCTGTCAGTATGTTGGACACGCAGGTTCTTTCCCTCCACTGAGTTTAATGTAGTTTTAAAAAAAAAAATTGCTTTCTTTTAATGTTGACATAACAAATACCCTGTCACTGTAGGGACCCAAAGGTGAGAGAGGAGAGAAAGGAGAGGCCGGACCCCCCGGAGCTGCTGGACCCGCCGGTGCCAAAGGACCCCCTGGAGATGACGGACCAAAGGGCAACCCCGTAAGTCTGACAGGTTTGCGATTGAAGCCAGTGAAAGTGTGGCGCCTCATGCTCAGTCACAAGCTGCTTTTTTAGAAAAAAAAAAAGAAAAGTGTCACACCTCAAAGGCGGGTCATATTACCCAGTCTCATATTCAAGAGCTAAAAAGCCTTTTTATTGAGGGAGATTAGATTTTATGCCTGCATGGTAATGGGAGGCAGCGGGGTCACTTGGATTTGCAACATTATCATTAAGTTCATTACATTACCTTCACAGGTTGTAACCAAGTACGCCAGGACGAAATCCCGGCCCAAATTACCTCCCACATTCCAAATTCTGCTTCCAAGGAAATTATCTCCCAGCAGCTGTTCCTCTGGTGTCCTTTTTTTTTTCTTTACTTGTTTGATTTTTTTTTATTACTTGATTCTCCTCTCTCACAGGGACCTGTTGGGTTCCCTGGAGACCCAGGACCCCCTGGAGAGCCAGGCGTCGCTGTAAGTATGAAAGCACACCGCTTGCTTTGTATGAAAAGATAATATCTTTGTTTTTTGATTGATGCTGACATTGTACACTGACTGGAGTAAAGAAAATATATTTTTTGGTTTCTTTGAGCCTTTCTTTAACCTACGCTTGAATTGCAGGGTACTGATGGAGAACCAGGAGAGAAAGGAGAGGATGGTGAGCCCGGTCAACCTGTAAGTAGTCAATACCGTTTATTAATTAAAATGAATGAATTATTGATTACCTTTCACTAAGAATCATAACAAAGACATACAAGAATCAAATTGTCTCTCAAATTTTTGCTGTGTACATTTATTGAGGTCTGTCATCATGATATCACATTTATCATGATCTGATAAATTTATTGAGGTCTGTCATCATGATATCACAAGGCATTTTAGCTCCAACACAGAAACCTTCTCAATCACAAGTCTTATAACAGGTATTATTTGTACAATATTGATATTTTAAGTCATAAAATAATGTAAAAAAAGAAATACGAAATATGAAAATGCAAATAGTCTTATTGGTAATATTTCACATCCTCCAAAATCCCTTTTTAAGGTGTATTTGTAACTTTGGAGTCATACTAAAATAATGGAGAAAGATGATTTAGGCAAAAGAATAAATACACTTTTGGCAAAAGCTTAAACCATAATTTTTATGTGATGTCAATTTCTGACCCGCATGAATCTTGAACAGCTGCCATCATTGCCTGAACTTTACTGAAGAAATAACAGTATGAAGAAGTGCCGCCATTTATCAAAGTACGAGGTGCCGTTATCGACTGTGTCAGGGTTACTGAGCTGTTACTGTCCAGTGAGCTGTGCGATTTAATGATCCAAGAACCCCCTCTCATCAGTCTTTGTTGCACGCTTGTTTTCAGGGACCCCCGGGTCCTTCTGGAGAGGCCGGTCCACCTGGTCCACCCGGCAAGAGAGTAAGTCCTTGCCTCTTCTAGCTCATTTCCTTCCTGTAAGTTGTGTGTTTGCATCACTAAATGTGCTTCCAGCCACATTCAAGCCTCGACTAGACACCGATCTGGTTGTGCAATTATCAATCCTTAAAAAGTTGATTCTCCTGACCAAAGAATTCACAGTGAATTCTTTGGTTAAATAAAACGAGACGTGTTTTTTAATCAAAAAGACGACATCGCCACGCGTCGGTGGGCAATTTCACGCCAGCCCCCCGTAGCCAGCGGTTGAATGCTGCCTCGTCTGGCAGCAACTTCAGCTCAACAACCCACTCTGGCTCTGGAGCTGGAGAGATTCATTCTCATTAAAGGCAGAGTGGCAGAAACAAAGTGGGTGATTTACGGGGTCAAGGTGTTACGCTATCAGTGAGGTAAAGCCTTTTTAAAGCCCACAAAGAAATGAATGTCAGGATGTGAAAATCGTGAATCATTTTTTTTCGGCCCCTCGGTGAGAAATTGAAAGGCTTACTAAAAGGGGTGGGGAAAGAAGGGAAAAGATCACAAAAAGAGGGCGAAAATGGAGCTTACGGCGCCGCTTCAGTAGGGTGGGGGGAGATGTGCAGCAAGTCTGACACGTTATTGATCCCGTGGCTGCATCTGCAAAACAGAAGCATGAGACGCGTCTTGCAGAGTGGGTAAGAGGTGATTAGGAAAGAGGCGCAGATTCAGCAGCTAATAAAAACAAACAATAAAAGCTCTAACTGTCGAACGTGTTCATCGCGATGCAATCATCTTGTCTGATTTGACGTGACGAGCGCGTTGTCCCGTTTAAAGCTTTGAATCGTTTTTGAAGGGAAGATGTTAAAACGTCAACAGCTACGGCTCACCCCAATTAACACGTACCCTGTTAAGAGCAGAGCACACCAATCAGTTGGGGCTCCTGACAGAGACGCCGACAGACGTCCGCCTTTAAGCCCTCACGGCGCCACTTTTCAACTTTTTCTTTTTAATTGTTAGTCGCGTCGATTTTCATACGCACAAAAGCATGAAAAACAAAAAAGGTCTGCCTAAAGCTGCAGAGAAATCTGCATGCATCGACGATGATCAAAGTAAGACGCTCAGCGCAAATACGAGTTAATTAGCTCAAATTTTATTCCCACAAATTAGAAGAGATATTATTTTAGAGACCTTATGGAGCAGGAACCCTGCACCGGAAATAGATCAAAAACTTTAAGAGCCCTGTCGTCTGCAATAATGTTGAAGGACTGCTTGTGATGCAGAAATGTATTTTAAAAAGTCATCGCAATAAATGGCATGTGGTTGAGTAAAGCCAATCATTAGTGAACGGAAGTATCTAGAAGTCCCACTTTCTTACAGAAGCAGTAGACGTTTTCTCAAGAGCCTTGTTCTGAAATTCATCATTTGCTTTTGAAACAAAAAACAGACATTTATGGGTTTCATCATTTTAAAACCTCAAGGTTATCTTTCTCTTCGTTTTAATTTAAACACACTAGTATATTAAAATCTGTTGGCTTTTTAATTCTCACTCGGTTATGTCCGTATATCCCACAAATAACCAAACTATCCAAACATTATGATGAAAGTTGCTATCGGGTTTGCCTCAGTAACAACTTTCTCTCATGTATCTTTGCAGCTCGTTTTCCATGTTTGGAAAAAACAAAAATACAAAAGGAAGAAAGGAAGAAGAAATTACTCACCAGAGTTGTAGATGATAATGAGATTTTTTATTTTTTTATTTTTCTGGTCCAATGAGAAATTGTGCATGTGCTGCATTTTCAAACCAAGGCTGATTGCTTACCCACTGCGTCGACAGAAATCTGTATTCCATTTATTATCATGGTATAAACATATGCAGCACCTGAATGGCCAGGGGGGGGGGATTATAGTGAGGAAGGAGCTATTTTGTAATCACACACAGGTCTTATGGGGCTTAGGGTGGAAAGAGGGTCTAAAATGACCAGTGCTCCTCTGCAAGTCTGTCCTTTGAATGTGTAATTTCTAAGATATTTTTATTTGTATTTTTTTTTTTACCTTTTGAATTTTCCCTTCACTTTGCCCGTAGCAGCTGTCTATATTCGTTATTTAATTTCTTTTCGAGCGGACAGGAATCGCATTTTCTACTATCTAGCTCCACTGGCAGTTCTGCACTTTTTATCTGAAGAAATGTTATCCAGTGAAAATCTTGGTAGTCAGCATTTGAAGCACAAACCGAATAGAACAAAAAAAAAAAAAGGGGCTGGGGGGCCGCTGGAGGGAACCTTGACACGAGGCGCACACCCTACACGCCGCCGCGCGTCAAGACAGAAACGCTCCTTTGTGCTGATGAATAGCCTGCCTCTTCACCACCAGTGAGAGGTACAAATCAGGAGAAGATGAAAGCTCCGACACCTGAAGAGAGCGCTCGCATCATGGCTCTCTCAGTCAACAACACTCAGCCTGCCCGTCGGGGAGATCAGAGCAGAATCATGGCGGAGGGAGGTTTGAAGACGGAGGCTCGAGGCGGCGTTGAAAGGGATCCTCGAGGCCGGGAGAGAATCTGACCGGGGGAGAGAAGACGCGGCCGCGCCGGCGTTGGCGTGATTGAAGAAGGCCGTGCGTTCCCCGTTCAAATCTCTCAGCGTGATTGTGTGTTTCTGCGGGGCGGACAGAGGACCCTCACTCCAACGGGTCTTGACATAGCTGAAGTGGCGCACGTTTGATGCCGCCGGGTTACTTTCCGCGCCTGAAGACGGTCGCCGCGTTGCATTTATCAACTGTGACAAATAGTCAGAGAGAAATCTCATAAAAATTAAGGCGAAAACAAAAACACTCAGACGGTCCAATGAAATCCCTTGTAACAAATGTCCTGGTTTGTTTTTGTTGTTTTGCCCCCAAGACAACAAGCCATGAATATTTTGTGGTATTTTATCTACGTTTTTTTATGGCTTGCTTGATTTTTGTTATACAGGCAAATTTAGGCTTTGTTTTTATTTCATTTTTATGATGTTTTGAAGTGGTCTAACCAGTGTCAATGTGAATCTGAAAGACAACCTGTGAAGGGTTATTTTTTTCTTGTCTTTTTAAATCCACTGTTCTTCACTCCTGATTTAGTTTTGTCAAACCAAAACCAAAATGACTGCTGACAGCAACATACCCACTGCACTCTACTGGGTATGCAGTGGGTTTCACAATGTCGTGTTGGAAAAACTAAAACATTCTCCTGTGGCTCCTCAGGGACCCCCGGGAGCTTTAGGAGCCGAGGGCCGGCAAGGAGAGAAGGGCGCCAAGGTAAGAAAACCGCTGCATGCGTCTGGTGGAAAGAAAACCAACGCTGCTGTTTTCCTTTGTCTGTCTTTGTTTTTGCGCCAGGGATCGGTGACATCAAGCTGCAATTTGCGCAGCCATCACTATGGAAATGCACACACAGCGTTTTCAGACTCAGTTCCCTTCAGCTGGTGGCAGCAGCAACGATCCGTCTCCTCGTCGCTGCCCCTGTAGTGACTGGAGTCTGATAAACAGAAATCGTTTACGTTCATTCATTCATTTAGCAGCTGTTACAAAAAAAACCAAACGAAAAACCCGTGTTTAGAGCTTTGTCGTAAGCCTGTAATCTGTGCTCACTTCTCGGCCCAGTCCTGATTTCCTGTAACTTTTCCCCATGTTTGCCGTGTAACTTTTAATTCCGACGTACTTGGCTATTCTTGTGCCTTATGCGTCAGAAGCCCATATTATTTCAGACCCTCGCTTACTTGTTGACATTTGCCGGTTATGCACGCTGCATATTTATTTTAAACTCTGCGCAGGCTGAGGCTGAATTCTGATGAAATAAAAAAAAGAAAGGCAAAAAAAAAACACTCTGAAGCCCTGAGAGGCTGCAAAGATGTGTTGACAACAAAGTACCAAAGTTGTTTGTGGTTTGCAGTTTTTTGTTTAGTTTTTTTTTAGGCCGCCACTCATGCATCCACAGTGTTTCTTTATGTCCTGTTATTTTGCTCTACATTCATATTTAAATACTTGCCAGCAGTTTATTTGGGCAGTGAAAACATTGTAGTCCTTTCATATGATGGATCAGATATGAAAATGTTATGTTTGGGGTCCTGCTTTGATTGTTTTTTTAATATATATATATATCCACATGCAGGGTGAAGCGGGTGCTGAGGGGCCAGCTGGTAAAACTGGACCTGTTGGACCCCAAGGACCTCCCGGGAAGCCCGGTCCAGAGGGTCTGCGTGGAATCCCTGGCCCTGTTGTACGTCCCTGTTTACAGGCTTACAAAGCCTTAATTATTTATTTATTTATTTATTGACAATGTCTTAGACATTTAATAAAACCTCCAGTGTGTTATATAGGGATTTTATCTTGCAGATAAAAGTAATTACAGTAATACAATAGATCGACGGGAAATGATACAGGGTAAGACTTTATTTGAAGGGGTGTGCATAAGACTGACAGTACACTGTCATGAACATGAAGGAGTCTTCATGAATATTTATGACTGTTGTCATGAAGTGTCATTTGGTAAATAATAACACTTTCAATACAAAGTTGTACTGAAACTTGCCTTAAAAGTCCATTAAAAGTGTCAACTTTGCATTAGAAGTGTCATTATTTACCGAATGGCATTATTATGCACACCCTTCAACATCAAGTGTTTCCATTTTCACAAGTAGAAATGTAAAAACTGCGACGGCCTGTGCCCCGTTTACCCCAGCGTCCCAAAATAAACCAGTCAGAATCTATATAAATGTATCGTTTCTCTTTCTCTTTGGTTAGTTCATCACATAAAATCCCAACGAAATCCAGTGGAGTTCGTGCTCAGAACATCACACAATGTGAAAATGTTCAGTGAATACTATCACAGGCCGACTGAGACACGCACACACACATAAAAGTACCGCGAAGGCATGATGATAGACTTCATGGAATAATCGATACTCCAATTTGGCTTATACTTTAGTTTTACTTGTTTATTTCAGCGCACTTTTCCTCCCTGTTTGGGCTATTAATCATCGAGTCGCACACAGGAAATCAATGGCGGAGCGGTGAAAATACAGCAGCCCCATAATGCTCTCTTCAATTGAATGGTTTTTCACAGGGTGAACAAGGGCTGCCTGGTGCTCCAGGACAGGACGGTCCACCAGGTCCAATGGTAAGTATTCAGAGTCCGTCCCGTCTTCTCCCGCCTGTCTGGATTTATTCCTGCCACCAGTTTTCTTTCTCTCTCTCTCTCTCTCTTCTGTGAGCTTTTTGAACCCACAAAGTCCCACTGTAATAAAAACGCACGCTGACCTCACATTTTTATGGATTTGTCTTGTCCGAAAAGCTTTTTGTTTTTTTCTTATTCAATGTCTTTTGTTGCTCTCTCCTTTTTCCCTCCACACCTTTTCCGTGGGAGTGTTTTTCCTAATTGCTCCAATCGATTTTTTTTTTCTTTCTTTCTTCTCAATGTAATGTTTCGATGTGTTCGTCATGCAGGGTCCGCCAGGGCTGCCGGGCTTGAAAGGCGACCCCGGCTCCAAAGGTGAAAAGGTGAGTGTTTTAATTATTATCAAATGTTATTATTATTATTTATTTATTTCTCAACCCTTCATTTTCTTGTACCCATCTGAAAGCCATCTCGTCCTAAACTTAAGGCACCATTTACAAAAACGTCTCTAGCAGCGTGGTTCAGAACACCATTGTGGACTTTATGCGTCATCTCAGAATAATTGCCATGTTTTCTTCTAGCAGTCTTTTGCAAAGACTTTTGCTTCTTTTTCTTTTTGTCTCTTTCCCTGAAAGGGAAAATGTTTTCATGGGATTGAAAAAGCAGCCGAATATGATGCATCACTCCAAACTGTCCAATCGTTCTCTTTTCCTTGCTCCTACTGTCACATTTGTTGGTGAAGAATAACTGCTAAGGATATTCAGACAGGGCACATTACTCTGTCTAAATTGCCTCTCGCACCCTGACATGATGGCTTGAAAGAAACTATTTGGAAACACATCAGAATCTGCGTGCGTGTTGGTGTGTGTGTGTGCGTGTGTGTGTGTGTGTGAGGTCTACGTCTCTAATGCAGTTGAATCAGAAGACCCGGCTGGAGCTTTCTTAATTCAAAAGTCCTTGGCTCTGTGGTGTGAAACGACCTTTACCTTTCCACCGACTTTCTTCCATATATGTTACCGAAGCAGCATCACTGTTAACACGCTTAAAGTGTTTCTCTCTCTCTCTTTCGTGAAAAGCAACTCAGACTGCAGGTATTTTTGTATCTCGTTTGATTTGACTGCCTCGTGTCTGTGTGTGCGTTTCCGCTCTGCAGGGTCACCCAGGTTTGATCGGCTTGATTGGACCCCCTGGAGAGCAAGGAGAGAAGGGGGATCGAGGTCTTCCCGGACCCCAGGGAACCCCTGGTGGCAAAGGTGACTCTGTAAGTGCAGCTTTGGCCTTCAACTCGTACTTCCTGCGTCCCGTTCGCCCTCCCGGCTGTGGCCAAAGGTCGAGACGCGGTCGCTGTTGTTTGGACTATGCTGCGTAGCCAAGTCCTGCAGCAGGCACGCTCAGATTTTAGATCTGCTTCTTCTCGGCTGGAGTTGATGATATTGCTGTTTTTTTTCTTCAGAATATGTAGAATATTACAGAAGCACCAAACAAAATTTTGTGGTCTATTTCCAAGCTTTAGTTTTTGTAAAGCTTAGACGTCTCTGTACCAATTCTCGCTACTGCCGATTATTTCTCTTTGGGAGCAGAAGATTTGGGAGCAGCATTACTTTTTTCTCGCCGTCCTGCGATGAGCAATCATTAATCAATCATATTTTCAAAAATATTTGTGTTCCTATCTTAAAAGAAAGGAATAACAATTTATGCTAGTGCTACCAAACAGCATGGTCAGCGTGGCTAGCATTATTAAAATCAAAAGAGTCTGTTGTTTAGTGTTTTACCTGCCGAAGAAAGCCTTGCTCTCTCTCGCCTTCTCGCAGTGCCGCAGACATGTCTGGATATGTTGGAGAAAACAAAGTGTTGTCTGAACTGCTTCTGGAAATAGCCAACTGCGAGCCTTCAGTCAGTAACAACATCCACAACGAAGAGTTGTCAGCACAGCAGCGTAGCCTGATGAAAACAGGACAAAAACGTTTCTAACACAGTGACATTCGGTCACCGTGTTAGAACCGTTCAAGTTAAAAGACTTGCGATTTTCTCTGTTGTAAACTGTTTCTGGTTGTAGTTCAGTAGTTTAATATTTTGTTATCATTATTTTAATGTTTTTCTTTTTTTTTTCTCTTAATCTTCTCACGGGCTTCCTGAAATCTCTCTAGCCAACACTCATGTACAAGACTGGGATTATTTTCAGGGTATTAAAAGATCTCACGCATCGGATCGCTTTGCGTTACAAGTTTGTTCATACAAAGCCGCCGCAGTATCAAAAGTTCTGTTTTCAGCGGTAAATGTTGAAAAGCAGGTGAAGCTTCAGGTATGACAGCATCTATTTTATCAAAGAGTCGTTTTAGTCACGTTTTAATTTTGGAATTGGATTGAAGGTCCCGTTTCATTGTTGCTCTCTTGATAAGGTAATGACCTCACTGCTTCAAATGAAAATGGCTTAATATTAGAACTTAATTTGCCGTCTTTTCATGAATACTAACATTCATTTAACCTCTTCATTTAGGCCAGAGGTTGTTTTTTTTTTTTGTTTCCAGCTCTCTTTACCAAAGCCTCAGACTGAAATTTATTTTGTATCTATTGACAAATCTTTCTGTGTTTTAGGGCATCAGTGGAGCTGCTGGTCCCCTCGGTCCTCCTGGTTCCCCTGGTCTACCTGTATGTATTACATTTCATAGAATGTACATTTATTTCCTGTATATTCCTGACAGAATACCAAATTCCTGTTCTGTCCCATGTGATCCAGGGTCCTCAAGGTCCGAAAGGAGCCAAGGGTTCAAGTGTAAGTACAAACTAAGCTACTACATATAATCTATATGTGCTACCAGCTGGCTTTCATCTTCCGTATGTTTTTTTTTTTTTTCCCTCAGGGTCCTGCTGGTCCAAAAGGAGACACTGGTTCAATAGGTCCTCCAGGTCCTCCTGTAAGTGATCTCAGTTCTTCTTCTACTTCCATAAGTCAGACTGATCAAATCTACACAGGGCCGAGTCGTAAACCTAGCCATGCTGTGTGATACCAGGGCCCACCGGGTGAGGTCATCCAGCCCCTTCCCATTCAGTCACCCAAGAAGACCAAGCGCTCCAGTGACATGCAGTCAGACGCCGCCGGCGCCTTCGTGGATTACGGCGAAGGCATGGAGGACATCTTCAGCTCTCTCAACAACCTCAAACAGGACATTGAACGCATGAAATACCCCATGGGCACGCAAAACAACCCGGCCAGAACATGCAAAGACCTCCAGCTGTGCCACCCCGAGTTCCCCGATGGTGAGTAATCCATTTGTTTTCAAGTGTAGCCTACAAGTCAAAGCTTTGCACACTTCTGCTAATTCCTTTTGACAAAAATAGGTCTTCAGTCATTTTGTTGGCTTGGTTTTACATTCAATAAAAAGAGGAACCACATTTTGTCTTGTTACAACCATGAATTTGTATGTACTTTTTCTATATGTGATAGAACAGCACACAGCAGTTACTGTGTGCTGTTATTTGGAAAATAGCCCAAGCTATTGGACAAAGAGCATATTTGAATGTTGGTTTTTATATTTTGCCACAGATTCTCATTTGGATTTAGACCTTGATTTTGACTGGAGCATTCTAACACACAAATATACTTTGGCAGGTTTACCAAGTGGAAGGTGTGTTCAGGGTGACTTTTCCTGGGCGGACAAATAAGTTGCAATGCGACCTGTCTAATCCAAGCACCCACATAACTTAAGGCAAACTTTAAATCGAAGTTTATACAGCATTCTTTCAACAACGGCTTCCTCTTGCCACTGCGTCTCACTATATGCAGATGACTGTGCTTTGGTAGATTGGCAGCTTTGCAAAACTCTTTGCATTTTCAGGTGATAAATAAACTCGAGGACATATTTTACTGGACGATAAGTTGTCCCAGTAAATATTGCGATAAACGATAATATCGTCGTTTATCGCAATATTTTCTCAGGTAATGTTTTGATATCAGGATAATAACGCAAGCTTGTCCTCTCAAAGACCAGTAAACATTAACAGTGTAAAGAACATCAAAGCGACAAATAAAACAGAAATGAAAGCCACACACTCAAAACTATAAATAAAATGGATTATAAAGTCTCTGTCAACAATATTTTAAAAAAATATTAATCAGAAAGAAAATTGTTGTCATGCAATGAACTGATTGTGTGCTGCCTCTTTTCACTGAATATGTGGTGTCAGGAAATGATTTCTAATTGATTTTTATCCGTTCTCTTCAGGCGAGTACTGGATTGATCCCAACCAAGGCTGCTCTGGGGATTCATTCAAAGCCTACTGTAACTTCACTGCTGGGGGTGAAACCTGCATCTATCCGGATAAAAAGTCCAATGGGGTAAGCGACTTTGGCTTCATGGCATTAGTAAACTCCCGATTTCCTTCCCTTACCAACGAGTAGACCTTCATGGTACACCGTAGTCATCAAAGAAGGTTTTGTTTCGGCTTGGAGGAACTTTTGCGAGCATCTAAATGTTTGCAAAATACCACAAAAGCCCTCTGGCATTAAGTTTTTTTTATATTATTTTATCAGAAAGAAAAACGAAGAAAACATTCTCTTTTTTTCTTGAATAATAAAGTGCGATTTTTACCCCAGAGCTTTCGCTTTTAAGCTATTTTCATGTTTTGTTCATGACTGTGGGCGGGTTGTATTACCCTTGACAAGACTCACACTCTCCACACTCCGATGTTCTGCTTTGTTGTCTGCAGGTCAGAATATCCTCGTGGCCCAAGGAGGTTCCAGGTTCATGGTTCAGTGAATTCAAGCGGGGTAAAATAGTGAGTGTTTTTGTTTTTCACCCGTCTCTCACCACAATCCAGTCCGTGCCTCGTCTCTTGGGTTCTCTTTGTCTGAGTTCCTGCAGTCGAAACTTCAGTTTGAGTTTATTAGAGGCTCCTGTCAGGCTTTCATACGCTAATGTCTCATTTTCGTAGTGAAAATCAGATTTTGAGCTTCCCCATTGGACCGTGTATTTATATATTTCTGTAGGAAAAATATGAGGTTGAATGTTTATCTTCGTGTCTCCACTGACGAACTTTTAATACCTGTAGTAACCCCTAACAACGGTCACGTGTTGCTCAAAGTGAGGCGCAGTGTCACTAGATTGACCAGAAGCATTTTGGGACAAACATACTGTTTTAGATTTATTCAGTCCTGAATAAAAATGTGTTTTTAAACACATCAGCGAAACACGTAAGGCATTTTTTCTGTGTCTAAAAGAGTTATTTTAGTGATCTTTAGCTTTTTATATAAATAGGTAGTAAATGGAAATTTTTATCAGAGAGGTTAACCAATCAAATGGCCAAAATCTCCTGAAAAGGAGATATTATTGAGTTTTTACATATTTTAGTACCTGTGCAGCAGCTTAACGATGGAAAAGATCTGATTTTATTTCTCTCTTTTTCAAATAGAAAAGCAAAACATAACCCTATTGCTACAGAACTAACATAACATTGAATATTACCATTGCAATGTTATTTATAAAACACATACTGTGATTTTTTGTGCATAAGCTTTACCAGAAATATACAAAAAAACCTGCCTTGTTTAGTGAAAATCTTTAACTGATTATTGTACAGAATGTTGCTTGTTTTGGATTTTATTTTGTAATCGCAACTCAATAAATGTAGTTATTACATTACATTTATTTACATTTGACTATTGCATTTGTCGAATGCAATTATTCCATCATGTACCACTACTTTTCATGATCTTGTCTTCTCTTTCTATTCCCAAAAACACAGTTTTCCTACGTGGACGCTGAAGGAAACGCCATCAACATGGTGCAGATGACCTTCCTCAGACTACTGACCGCCTCCGCCAGGCAAAACTTCACCTACAGCTGCCACCAGTCGGTGGCGTGGCACGACGCGGCCAGCGACAGCCACGACAAGGCGCTGCGCTTCCTGGGCGCCAACGACGAGGAGATGTCTTTCGACAATAACCCGTTCCTTAAGGCCATCTCAGACGGATGTTCGGTGAGTGGAGCCCGTGGACGAGACGTTGTCTGCGCTGGCAGATTTCCCAAAAAACGCGTGTCCTAGAAATAAAAGGTGCCTTTTGAATAGCTTCTTACATCTCTGGACTTGAGTTTTGAACCAGCCACTGACATTAGAAAACAGCTAACTCTTGAATCAACGTTACTCAGTAACAACATCCATGTCAAAGCGTGTGGTTCACTGAACAGAAAAGGTCTGAAAAACAAGGTTTATCAGGCCAAATCAAACCATAAATCATACATTTTTCCTATTATCTAAAGAGCTTCAAAAAAGTATCTAAGAACATAAAACCATGTTTTTTTGGGGGAAGGGGGTTACAATATGGTGAACATTTTTAAATACCCATTAGTGTTTCATCCTTTAAGCCTGGCAGACCTATTATTCCCGACTGAATGAGACAGTGTTGAAAAGCTGCAATTGTAGCTAATGTCGGCTGCTAGCTGTGAAAAGTCCTCTTTTATCATTCAATCAAACAAATTTTATTTGTATAGCACATTTCAGCTACAAGGAATTTCAAGGTGCTTTTTATCTGGCACCTTGTCCTGCTGCTGAGGTATTTTTTGAGGTGAATAGATTGCTGTCTTAATTTGGATTTTTATTTTAAAAGGCGTATTTATTCCCAGAACGCCTTCCACCAATTAGCTGGTATTGAACTTTGTCCCTTTTTTTTTTTTTTTTTTTTCCTATCCTGCAGACAAGAAACGGCTACGGAAAGACAGTGATGGAGCTCAACACTCCCAAAATCGACCAGGTTCCAATCGTCGATGTCATGTTGACTGATTTCGGGGACCCAAACCAGAAGTTCGGGTTTGAAGTTGGACCTGTCTGCTTTCTTGGATAAACAAAGTTAGAAATTTTTTATTATTTTTTTTTTTTCAAATAAGGACTTGATGAGGACAGGAAATAAAGTCAAGCCAGGACATCCTGGGTGGCACCAAATTTAAAACTCCCCCTACCCCCAACCCTTTTCTATGCCACATGCAAGTTTTGAATGAGCGGTGGCGCGGCAGACACGTCTTTCCGTGTCTGCAACGCGTAATCCCGGAAAGCGCTCCGTACCACGCGTCGTAGTCGTCCTACCACACGACTATAGCACGCTGTGGAAGGAGGGCGAGGGACGCGGGAGCGGCGTGGCGGACAAGGAGGAATCGGAGGCGACCGACGGACAGGACCTGGCGACACGAGGTGAAACGGATCTCTTTGCCGAAATCCCCCTCCAACCCCCCCGGGTGCTGTACAAAAACAACAAATGGTGCTTGATCAAAACACGACACAAACAAAAAGTATATAGTGGTGCTAAGAAAGAAAGGTGTATTTTGATAATTATATATTTATATGTGTATTAAAAAGAACAAAATTTATTATTATTTTGTACAATACTGTTATTTCTAAATCCACTTTCAAAACTTGCATGTGTATCAGAACCTGATTTGGGCTCAGACGTATACAAAGTAAGTTGAAACCGTACGTACCTTCTGGGCTTTTTGGGGCGGGGTTCTTGTTGTCATTTCCTCTCTACATTCTGTGTACTCGTCATGAAGCAAATAAAAGAAAAAACAACTGAGCATTTCAACAATCCTTCTACTTTCAAATTAGACTGTGTACCCCATTGTATATAATGACTGTCCAAAACTTGAGTTTTCTTTTTTTTTCTGGGGGGGGGGTTGTTTTACTCTTGTGACTGCAGGTAAAACAACTGCATTTATCACAGCAGGACAAATTACGGCGACATCTCCCACTAATGTTGCCACCCTGTGCTCCTACAAGGCAGTAACGACCTCCATTTTCTCTTTATTTAAATATTTCAGTTGTTTTTTTCTTTGTTTTGTTTTGTTTTTTTCTTTGACTGGCTTTTGCTTCGGTTGTATACCTCAGACTTTCTCGGTAGCCTTTAAAAAGCAAGGACTCCATGCCCTGTATATACCCTGGCTAAGCGAATAAATTTATATTTTGGGTGGGGATATTTTTTAAAGGTGAGAAAAACCTAAACTGTTTCAGATCCTTCTGTGAGTGCAATGAGAAGCCCTTGCAGTTACCCATTTTTGTTACTAAAAATGAGCAAATGTTTTATTGTGCTGTTTTGTTTTTTTGTTTGTTTAGTTCATTTAAATATTAAAAAAAAAATGGATTCTAAACAATAGCGAGCCAAATGTCTCAGTTGTGTGTAAAAGATTTTGGATTGTAGAAAATGTCTGTAGGCTGGATAAAAAAAAAAAAGCTGAAACACATTTTGATTTAAATGTGCTTGTGACTGATGGTTATTTAATTACAGGAACCATTAACTTAGTACAAAAGAAAACTTTCTCATATACCTCCACGAAAAATGACCTTCTCTCATTCATATTTTTGTTTGAAAAGCTCCAAAAGTCATAATATAGAGAAGTCACAGAGGTGTCAGTAATTGAACCGTGGTGAAACAATTTTACTTGATTCTTTTGTGTGTATATGTGTGTGTGTGTGTGAAAAGTAAAAAAGAAACCTTGAAACCGAAACTGTAACTAATGTGTGGGGTGGCAAAAAAAAAAGTAGAGAGTCTCCAGGGGATTAGAGAACAGCAAAAAGGAAAAAGCAGATATTTCTTGCAGATGGTTCACCTGAGTGTTTTTGAAGGGAGAGAGCCATAGAAATCTTTTTTCATCCCATGACATTATAACCAAAAAACGTCACGTGTGTTTTATTTAGGTTCATGTAATAGACGGTATGTAGCGCGCAACTGCCTCCAAAAGCGATCTATCAAGTTCACTCAGTCAGCTGTCTTATGCAGAATCGACTTCATTGCGGTATGTGACATGTTTTCATGCTGTTCCTGGAATGCTGCTTTTGATTCGTTCATGCATGTTTGAGGAATATTGGAATCTCCCGTAACAACCACTCTCAGGGTACTTAAACGTGCACTCCTACAAAGCCCCGCCCTTTTTCCCAAAGCTCCGCCTCAGAGCTTCAGTCCCTCCCCAACATAGCTCCTCCAGACTAGCGGCAGCAGCAGCAGTTGGCAAACACATGGTGGAAGGAACTGAGCTTCTTCTCAATCCAACACTTTAAGAACAGTTAAAAACCTCATAATGGTGGAGCATTGTTTAAGGGAGGGTGTCTGAAAGAGTTCAAAGGATTAAATATGAGAAGTCAAATTTGCTTTCAGTTGCTTTTAATATACACAACACTTTTGTAACAGAACGTTTGAGCTACATTTCAGAGTTTTTGATATTTTTTTATTTAAAAAGCTGCTGACCTGTCTGGTGTGACGTCGGTTGACGACTGATGTCCTCTACCAAAACCCCCTTTATAAACTGTGTGGCTTCTGAAAGCACCAGGGTGGACTGAATTTCATTTGGTGGTATCAAAGCAAGTGGGGAGCGGAAGGGTGCAAAAACATACACTTGACTTTTTGGGGGGTTTTATTTCCAAAACAAATCTGAAACCCGAGTATATCTTTTTTGTTTTCCCTCCCCCTCCTTCTGCTTCACAGTCATGCATGGCTGTTTTGGTCCGTCACATGAAATCCACTGAAGCTTGCAGCTCTGAAGCGCCAATATGTAAATAAATAAATGCATTTCTTTGATTTTACTGAAACCCTGCGATGTTGCGCCATCAAATTTTGATGTGGGAGAGAAAAAGAAACAACTAATTCGTATTCGGTCATCCTGCGTCTCCATGAAACAAAATGTTAGCCGTGGTCCGCTGCGCCTCCAAAAGACCGATCAGTCCTTTCATTTTGCTGCTGGACGTTTGAGAAGACATCTCCATAAGGGCAATTTACGCACGTTTGGGGGAGCACGCGCGTGTGTGTGTTTTGGTAGCCAAGAAAAAATTAATACATGCTACTGCGTTCTTCTTTTATCTGCCGGGCTTTGCAGCAAAGAGCCCAATGAGAACGGGCCGTGCGGATCAGCAGCCACAAAAGAAAACAATCGAGAAAAGGCTCAGCCGTAACTTCACAAGAGAATCAATCAATCTGCAATCTACACCAGGAGTCCTTTTTTCACAAACCCCTTGTTTGTCTCAGGAGATTTCTACCATCTTTCATCTTTCTTTTAATGCATTCAGCACAATCTTTTCATTAAAACGAAGCAATTAAACTTCCCAGAGTTGCTCTGAAAGGTGGCTGCAATAATGTCCCGGATTATCATATAAATGCAACTTTTGCGACATTTGCCGGTGTAAACTCCTGTGTAAATGCGTGGGCTCACAACTGGGATGCTGTTCTGTATTAAAAAAGAGATAACAAAAAAAAAAAGATATATAGAGCACGCTTTATTGGATGACCCACGGATAATTATTTGGACCTGTTTTCTTTTTATGGAAGATTCCATAACAATAGCCTCAAAGGGCACATTTTACCTTTTATGAGTCAATAATAATGTGCTATGCACCAAATACTCCACTAAATATGAAGAAGAGTTCTTTCTATATGCGCCAAAGTCAATATTGTCTGTTATATGAAACATTTTCTAATAAAACTACACATTTCTTGCTGGTTGCTATGTAAATGACAAAAGCTTTTCGTTCTTTCTGGGGTTTTTTTTTTTTGGGTTATCAAATCAAGACAAACAAACTGCTTTGGTTGAAATATTATTTGTAGCACAGCTACTGCTAAAAACTATTCAACCGTCTTGCAGATTTACTTTTAGACTAAAAACGTGTTTTAAAATCAAAAGATTTTATTGTTTGTTAATCATTATTAGCATTTCATTAAATAATAAATGATGGAATCTGATAGTTTCCATTGAAAAGAGCTAAATATTAGTGTTAAAAGTCTGTCCGTTCTGGTACAACTACATTACCCATGGTGCATCTGTGTTTCCTTGCTTGTTATCGTTGCACATAGCTGGGCTAGTTTTTGATCTCATGTTCCTGTGTTACTGTTGTAAGGAGTGGCGTCTGCGGGTGACATCCACCATCAATCCCTTTTTATCCTGTTTGTGTAAAACCTGTGTGCGTTCTATATGATGTAAGTGTGCCGTTTCATATACGATATTGGTGTTTATGTCGATTGTTAGCACAGGAGGTGGGGACATCCTCGTGTTTGGCTGCCGACGGTACAGGAAATATCTGTAATAGTTCAGTTGTGCTATACTCGGTTATATATATGTCACATATATATTATTGTATTATTATTATTACGTAAAAGTATTTAACACTAACTTGTATTTCTGACAGTTTTGTCATTAGTGTGCTTACATTTTACCGATGGTATTGTAGTGCCCTCTGGAGGAGTTGTGTGGTGCTGCATACCATTCTTTGTTGTATACCTATGTGTAGCCGTTCTTACTCGCATAGTTATTAATGTAACTTTATTGTTTTTTCTGTTTCAGATAACCACACACACACATACACATACATAAACTCATCTACTGTACCACCTTTCATCCCATATTCATCGATGCTTGTCAGTCTACAATAAACCTTCGAAGCTGCATCTGCGGAGTTGCCTATTCCTTCTAACAGAGGAAGATTCAATTGATGAGAGATCTGAATTAGTGCCTGTCTGACGCACACAGAGTTCTTACAAATGGTCCTTCGAGCCGGATATTTCATTGGTTGAATCAACACCATGGCAACATCACCAGACAACACTCCTGAGGAGAAAAAGTCACCAGCATAGTTCCCGTCCACGTAGGAACAGGAAGCTTCCTGGACATCTGGCGGAGTATGAACATGACCTATCTGATCCAGAGGAGTCAGAGTTGTCAACAAGCAGCAGCTCAGGAGAACCTGATAAGGATAAGAAGCAACGATGGGACAAAATGGAAGTAGTATGGGGCAACATTCTAGCAACAATGAATCAGATGCAAATCACCATGAAGGAGACCAGTGGTGCATTATCCAGGCGTGTGGATCAACTAGAGAGAACATGTAAGTCATGCAGCCCTCTCTTGCCACACAGTCACACTCAACAACATAACCGAGCAGAATCCCTTCCTGCATTCCAATCACAGCCTAGCGGTGTGAACACATATAGCAGTGACGCCAGGGATCACGCTAGGGATCAGTTGAGCGTTGTGACACCAGCAAGGCAGGACAACAGAACACCTGTAAACCTACTGAGACCAATACAAGATGCTGCATCATTAGATCCACAGCCAGATGAACTTGCAGCACTGCAGCATGTGTTGCAGTCATCACCTGCGTCCCAGCCTTGGATGAACACAGCCTTCCAGCCAGTAGGTCGGTCTGGACCTTCACCTGTTCTACAGTCGAGAGGCCTTCCGGTTCATCCAGAAATCCAGCAAGCATCGTTGCCAGCTCCACCGCCTAGAGTGAGACATGTGATACAGCCTGTTCTACAACCTGACATCCAAGTAGCACAATCCATGCAGATTAAGAAACCCAAATCATATCAGGCTGAGTCTCTCTACAGGCAGAGATACCATCATCAGCAACTACCAAGCCATGCTGACCAAGTAGACGCTGCATCATCATATAACCCCCCAGCAGCCTCTGCCACACCGCTGTATCAGCCATTACAGGGAGCGGCAGCACAACAGAACTGCAGCCAGCTTTATGCAGCTCCATCTGCTGACATTCCCCACCATTATCCTGTAACATATTCATCACCTCCAGATATATATCAAAACTACAACTCCCTTACAGTCGACAGCAGAAGTGAATCAGCCAAACCTGATGGAGATGATTGTGGCAACATCATACGGCATCCCAAAGCCTAGACTGGTTACATTCAAATCAGGCAGAGAGAGTGAATTTGCCTTGTTAAAGAAAGGATTAGACAGCTTACTGGGGCCCCATGCACACCTCACAGAGGACTATAAATATCACATCCTGTTGGATCACTTAGAGCATCCATGTGCTCTACAAGTTGCCAGGCGCTATATTCACGACCGTACTCCCTACACCAGTGCAATTCGAGCATTGGAGCAGAGATATGGACAGCCTCGACAGTTAATCCAGAGTGAACTCAGCGCTATCCTTAACTGCTCTCCGGTGAAAGTCGGTGACCCTCAAGCCTTTGAAGACTTCTCCCTGGCAGTGTCTAGCCTAGTAGGTCTCCTCAGTACTATGGATGATGTAGCAGCCAGTGAGCTTCAGTGTGGTTCACATGTAGACAGGTTACTCACCAAACTCCCTCCTAGCTATAGAGACAGTTTCATAGAGTACTGTATCACACGTGGTATTATACATACTGGCAGCAGCCGCACGTACAACATGTACGATCTCTCTGAATGGCTTGAACGGAAGTCCCAAGTTCTTCAGCTATCTAGGCAGGCCATTCAGTCACAGTCATCGGATAGACCACGATTGGAGAGAAGTAACTTCAGAATGCCTACAGGGCCTAAAGCACCGAGTAAGCCTGCATCCATATATTATGGCTCAGATCCTGCTCAAACACAGCCAAAGACGGACATTAAGGTAGAAGCTGAGAGCCATTCTTCCCTTCCCAAGAAGAAACAGAAGTTTAAGCCATATTGTCCATACTGTGAAGGAACAGAGCATTACCTCAGTGGCTGTGAGAACTTTAAAAAGCTAGACCTCACAGCTGTCGCCACTTGGCTAAAGGATAAATCTAAATGCTGGCGCTGCGGTCGTAAACACACTCCAGAACAGTGCACTCTGAAGAAGCTTTGCACCAACTGTGGAGAACAGCACTTATTAGTGCTTCATGACCTGGCTGAAGCTAGAAGGCAGGACCCTAACATCCTAACTGTGAGTACTCGTAGAGTATATCTGGATCCTGTCAGTCACTCTGGCCGTGTAATGCTCAAGGTTGTGCCCATTCAGTTACACCATCAGAAGACATCTCTAGACACGTATGCTCTCCTCGATGACGGCTCAGAGAAAACCATCATACTCCCAGCTGCAATTAAGTTGTTAGGGTTAACACCAGAGGAGGAAACATTATCTCTGCGCACCGTCCGTCAAGATGTGATCCAGATAAAGGGAGGCTACGTCTCATTCCAGGTGTCTCCAAAGGCCCAACCAAAACGGCGTTACAAAATCACACATGCTTTTACTGCAGAACAGCTCAGCTTAGCTGAACAGTCCTGTCCAGTAGAGCTCTTGAAGAAGCGGTATCATCACCTACAACAAGTGCAGCTGGAAGGATTCAACCGGATACAGCCTCTGGTGCTAATCGGTTCAGACAATGCTCACCTCATAACGCCGGTTCGTCCCATCAGGCGTGGTCCAGCCCGTGGGCCTGTCGCTATCTGCACTAAGCTGGGGTGGGCCATCCAAGGTCCAAGTAGTAGTATGCCTACACAGCAGGGAGACATGCACTGCCTGCATACATCATGCCTTTCTCCTGCTGAGGACCTGTATCAGAATGTTCAACGGCTGTGGCAACTGGATGCTCCCATACATAGGTATGAGAAGGAAGTCACACGCTCAAAGGAGGACAGAGAAGCCATAACCATGTTAGAGGCTAAGACCATCAGGATTCCGGTAAATGGTGTGGAGAGATATGCCACTCCTCTGCTGAGGAGGAAAGACTTCCCTCAGATGCACGCCCCTTTAGAAGCAGTTAAAGGTCTGCTGAGGTCCACAGAGCGGAAGCTGACTAAACATCCAGACCTGGCCTGTACATACAACCAAGAGATCAAGAAGTTGGTTGATTCTGGTTACGTGACGAAGCTGACTCCAGAAGAGATCAAAAATTCTACTGAATCTTGGTACGTACCACACCACATGGTACATCATAACAATAAGGCACGAGTGGTTTTTAATTGCTCATTTGAGTTCCAGGGCACCGTCCTCAATAACTACCTCCTGCCAGGCCCTCCTCTGGGGCCTACACTACTGGGCGTACTCCTCCGCTTCCGTCAATATCCTGTGGCAGTGAGTGGAGATATAAAGGCCATGTTTCACCAGATCCGCCTGCTCCCTGAAGACTGTCCCCTGTTACGGTTCCTGTGGAGAGATGGTGAAACAGAGAGGTTCCCAGATGTGTATGAGTGGAAAGTTTTGCCCTTTGGGACAACATGTAGCCCTTGCTGTGCTACGTTTGCTCTTCAGAAACACGTGAAGGAGCACCAAGACACTCATAAGGACATCTATGAATCCATCCATACAGCCTTTTATGTGGACAACTGTCTGCAGTCCCTTTCTGACCCACAAGAGGCTAAGCTGCTCATTGACAGAATGAGAGAGTTGTTATTACAAGGTGGATTTGAGATAAGACAGTGGGCTAGCAACCTCCCTGCGGTGATTGCCCATCTGCCCAGCACGGCTAGGTCAGAAAGTTGTGAGTTATGGTTGAACTTCAAGAGTCTTGATCCGCAG